AAAATTATAATTATGACATATATTAGTGGCAGCGCGAATGTAAGCAAAATAAAACTAAAGAGAATAAAAGATATTTTCGTATATACGTATCAAGGTGTGAAAGAGACAACAACACTAATTTTCTATTATAATAAGCAGTAATAATTCTATACGCCACTAACAACATTTATAGGAGACAACAGCCTATCTAAGAGCTTATCTCAAAGTGAAAATGGATTGTAGATAAATACACGTTTAAATGAAGACTTCAAATAACAGAAGTAATTTGCGATTTGTTGTTTTTTTATTGCACAGTTTTCGCGCGTTGCGAAGATATCGTTGTCGTATATTGGAAATAACGTTCTCTTGTAATCTGGTAAATGTTTATTGCTTCACGGTGTATATTTTTATTTTTTGCCAGGACGCTTTTAAGTTTTTAAAGGAACAAAACAAAAATTATTTTGAAAAATAATCATGTTTTTTACTTCATTTTTTTATTTTGACCATCTTTAATTCTATTGTGAAGGCATTGCCTTCTATACTTACTTTTTCAATCTACTACTAGTATGCAAATAAATTCATTAGGGTATTATCAGTTAACTTATATGATTCAAAACACTGGATCCTATTTAAAAATTATTAACTTATATACGTGTTTCAAACTTTTTTAAACCAAAGGGCACACAAATGAGTTTTCCCTGTTGGATTTGAAAACTTTTTTTGCACATGAAGGCACTATATAGTTTAAAAATCGAAAATAAATTGAAAAAAATTTCGACTCGGGCAGGACTTGAACCGGCATCGCCAGCGTTCCGTGCTGTTGCTCTGACGGAACGCTGACAGTCCTGCCCGAGTCTAAAATTTTTTCAATTTATTTTCAATTTTTAAATTAAATTTATACATGTTTTAAAAACACCTGTCGATTATTTTTTTCTACCTTAATGATGACTTTAACAGTCACTTACCTAAAACCACAGAAAATATGAATGCTAAGTATTGTCTATAGTTTACGCAAGTACTGCGCATTTAAATAAAACACTTTTAACGGTTTAAAACGCGAAATGTATTAGTTAACTTATTTACTATTTATTTTAACCGACCGCCTTTGTAGGATTATACGTGTTTTGTTTAAACATAAAAATTGTCATTGCTAACAATGATTCTGTAGAAATTACATCACGTAATTGAATGATTGCATATTATGTTCGTCTAACTCCACATGCGACATCTGTGTTTGAGTACACATTCAATTAAGGGTTTGCGTACGAAAATGTACCAGACAAAAATAAAAAAGGATTAGCGAATTCTTTTGCCTTTAAAAAATGATTGAACGGTCCTTAATGAACCGGCTTAGCCCTCGGGTAATACGATCCACGGAATTAAGTCTTGCACAGACTATTCGAATAGGGCAATAAAGATTTCAATTGTACTGCCATTGGTTTGTAAAACAAGTAACGCGTAATGTCACGCGAACTGGAGAAGGAGGAAATTAACACTATAATCTACTATAACTCTTAATCTATATGTGTAACATTTCATACGTTTTTAAATAAATCACTTTAACGGTTTAAAACGCGATATATTTTAGTTAAACTTGTTTGAAAATTATTTTTAACTACGGCCCGCCGTTTCGGATGCTTTCAGCAGTCGGATTATGTCATGTTTAATTAAACTAAAATATATCGCGTTTTAAACCGTTAAAGTATTATATTTAAACGTGTACTACACGCGTAAACTACAGGCAGTATTCCATACGTTTTTACTATACATAATAAACTATTTTAGGAATCGTAATTAAAATCAAAGTAATTTTTTTTAGATCACATTGTTCCATACACAGTTCATCATTGTTTTATGAGAACATAATATATAATTATAAAGTTTATAAAGGGCATTAGTATAACGGTAGCAATATATGGGTCATGAGGTCGATCGTCACCGGGTCCAACTTATTTCTACTAGATTTTTAATTTTTCTCAAACATGTTGCCCGTCGGGGCCCCGAACCACTTTACTCGATTACGCCGATGTCTGTACCTCAGATTTAAATAAAGAACTGTTAGATAAGCTAGAACGCTTGCAAAACTTCTGCATAAGATTCATTTTCGGCTTGAGAAAATATGACCATGTAAGTATTTTTCGTCAGCAGCTTGGTTGACTTCCAATTCGACTTCGGCGCAATGCTCATATCTTACACCTCTTATACACTGCTTTCTTTAATCCTAATACTCCTTCCTAATTCAAATTCCTGAGCCCTCTCAACTATAGCCGGAAAAAAAGGATATTAGATATTTAATTTATAAAGATTTTTTAAAGGCGATTACGGGTGGTAGTTTACCTGATGTTGTAATATAATATAACAAAACTTTAGCTAAATGTTACTAATATCATTACTTATACTATGGGCCAAAATTCTTGGAGGGTGAGATCTCGATAGCTCCTACAGGAGTGGAAGGGACAAACCGCTGTTGTATCCGCATCCGAAGACAAGGATCTTGCTCCCATTGTGTGCTGATAACATTCTAAGAGAATTTAAATGAAACAGTAATATTAACTGTGCGAACAGCGACCCTGATTTAATCATTAAACAGAGAACGGAAACTAATTCGTTGTATTACAATTGTGTTTACCCGACTACGACGGAGTAGAAAGATTCAATAAGATTCTAGAGGGCGCCACCCTCTGTCTTATAAAACAAACAAGTTTAACATAAATACCTACTGTCTGTAGTTTCCGCGAGTAGTACACATTTAAATAAAACGTAGGAAAGAAGGTAGGAAGGGCTCAAATTCTCAAAGACCTGGGATCCCATATTTAAAACTCTGGATTCCAATTAACAGCATACCAGCAAACGCGAAGACACCGTTAGTCAATTTTGCAAGGACCCGGCCATTTTTGCCAAATACCAACTTTGACGGAACAGATGGCGCTAGCGTGGCAGTTTTTTACTTTGACGTCAGAGACACCCTCCATCTTAGTCTCTCCGTGACCACGGCTGCAAAGCATCCGCAACGTCGTGCCGTAGTTAAAAACAATTTTCAAATAATAAAAATCGCGTTTTAAACCGTTAAAATGTTTTATTAAAAAAACAACATAAACAAACGCTTAACTCGTAATCCTAACATATCATTTAGCTTTAAATTAAAACCACATATTCAAAAACGTAAACTTTATAGTTATACAGATCAAATAGGAGTACCTAATTATTTAAAAAGACAAATGAGTTAGATAAGACTTGATTTAATAAAGCCTTTTAAAAACTAATGGGCTTGCATTGTTGACCGATAACGATTTTTTCCGCTTGCGGCTCGTCCATTTCGAGCTGTCAAGATTTACCTAATATTAATGAGTTTCGCCTGAGCTGGATAATCAAGAATGTAAATTAAAGCGCTCGATTCACAAAGCAATTTTACATATTACTTCTCGAACAAATAATAAAATGCTGATAGAAAAGAACTGTTAGTGTAAGATCTAAGATATTAGACACTCTAAGTTGAACAATCCGAATATCTAAATAGGCCGGCAGTGTATGTTGTTTTGATGTTATACCGGCAGGCCTATTTCACTTAGTATCACATTAGCCCCATGCTTGTCTCTCCTCCTTTATGATAAAAAAACAGTGAAAAAGGTTTTATAAATACAAAGAAAAAAATAATAAACATCGTTCTCCTATTAGTCTAGTGCAAGTCTTACAGAATACTCTCAAACTATGGGCCGGTTACTAGAAATCGAGAAAAACTTCTCAACCAATATTTTTGTAGGTAATCCGATAGCGAACTGAGAACCTCTGGGTTTGAAATTGAGTATACAAAGTATTAAAGCAATGAGGAAATTTAGTGGATATTTAACAGAAAACAAATTTTATTTATTGACCTTTTCTTTTCAAAGGCCTTATGTAAAAATGCAGTGTCGAATGCCATACCAGCCTTCTGGTGTACCTAATTGGAATCCATTAGTCAACTTTGTAGATAGGCTTATCGTTGCGTGGGATATGGTTTCAATTAGACGATATTGATAAGCGACAAAGTTCGAAATATTTCATAACATTTATTGGCATAAAATAATACTTACTTATAAGTCTATACTGCATTTGTAACGTAGAATATTTGTAGTAAAAAAATATGTATAGTGAAATCTCGTTTCCCTTTTTGGTGTATAGGGCGAACACATATTTGTGTCTGTTTTCCTGATAGTTTATATTTACAGATAATTAGAATTCCATGCTGTGCCGGTCTGAAACAATTCAAAGCTTCCCTGGCACAGACTTGATCATTTTAGGGCAACAATTTCAACCGAAAAGCTAGGAAGATGGTAGAAATTATTTATATTATTATTTTTTAATGAAAGCTTACATCTATAGAAAGTAAAAAATAGAGAGCCGATTCCACGTTACCACAATTAGATTATGTACAAGTACAAGTTAAACAATAAAAAGGTATGAAACTAAATATGTAAAGAAGAAAGACAACTATACCAAAATGACAAGAAGCATACAACACTCGTAAATAACTATTTTAAATTACGATATGTAAACCACTTTGATCAATAAAATAAAAATACATTTGAAATTGATCAAGTAAAAACAATAAAAACACTAAAATAATATTTTCCTAATTTATCACTAAAATAAACTATAAAATTAAGTAAAAAATTATAAGAAAGTAAATGATTCGCTTTGCTAACTGGGGACACAAATTAGATTACAATACATTTAATATCTAAAATTCCTGTACTATATTCGCATTCATAGCTAATTTTGGATCAAAAATAAGATCACGAACTTACTAAAACATGCGTTCAAACATCAATACACACTTAGACTGAATTAGAAAATGCTTTTATACATTTCCAGTGATAGAGCTACGCTTTTGTGTTCTCATCCAGTCATGATAAAGTAAAGCAACAATAGTCTAACTCAACATGGAAAAAAGTCGTGACCGAGTCGATGCCGGGTCGGCAGGACGCTACGGGCGTAAAATATAATGCCGACGTCCGATCTTAATTATCTTTCCATCGTTAGAGATGACCAAGGGGCAAATCGAAATCGGCGAGTTGCGACATCGAGGGCGCGTCATTATCGAAATGTATTTTAATCGCCCACTGACGGTGAGTTCCAAATCACTTGGACCTCTACTCATGACTTCAGAGTAAGAACAAATAATAAAATAGATTCTGTCTGTAGTTTAAGCGAGTACACATTTAAATAAAACACTTTAACGTTTTAAAACACGTTAGTTAATTAATTTACTTACTTAATAATTTATTTCAACAATGGTCCCACGTTTCGGGTGTTTTTCAGCAGAAATTTTAAATTTTGTAATGTTATATATTTTTTATTTTAAGCTGATAAAAGTGTATTCTTTTTGTTAACGCGCGAAACGTACATTTTTATACGGTAAAAAAAAATATTATCATTATTTAAATATCTGAAACATAGTTTTGATGTTGTCTGTGTGGTAGATATTGCTTAGGCTTAAATAAAAACATTTCTACAACAAAGTAACGCAAACAAGTTTAATCTATTAAAATAATACCAAAATAATAGCCAAATAATAAAATAGGTCTTTGGATCTCAATATGAGTAAGTACACTCTAAGCTAATATCTTTGCAGTAACGCTATGAAGTTTATTATTTAGGCTATTAGCTAACATTTATATTCTAAGTAACTTTAATATACTTATTTCAGCCTTCAAGCGCAAATTGTTCCGTTTAGACCACTAATTCTTTTGTTACCATCACCATTGTTTTCATAGTAATGCTTTGAAGTGTCTATTTCAAATTTAAAGGTAGATTTTATGTCTCCTTTGATTCTGTAATTGCAATAACGTTACAAAACTAAACAGTTTCACAGAATTTTAAAATCTTAAAGTAATTTTAACTTTTATATAATTGGTAATGCTTTAGATTATTTATAAACTGTTATGTACATAGTTATTAAAACAATGTATACACTAAACATATAACATAACTTTCTTACAACAATTTCACTCGAATCTCGTTCCTTAAGAATAACAATTATCAACGTCCATTAAAATATCCACCGCGCTCTTTATAATATTATTTTTAGTATGCACCGAAAACCCTAAATCAACGATGGCATTACATCCGCAGAATCTTAGTACCAATACAAAATAATGACGAGCTAATCGTCGTTTTATTCTCGTCTTCAAAGACAAATAATCGACGAGTAAAAACAAAACTAAGATGCTCTCGTTTGGTTTAAGTTCGTTAATCGTTAGCTGCTTTGTGCTTGCCGCTGCGCGAGCGCAGATCGCGATCCCAGAGCGACATTGAAAAATTCTGAACTCGTGATTTTCGTTCGTGTACTTCATTTATTTTCTGGAAGACCGTGGATATTGTTTGAGGCGAAATTATCTGACAGCTCCTCGCTTCGGCTGACAGACGTGAATATAAACTATTGTCATTAATATAAAGTTACGGTAGTGTGATGTACGATAGCATTAAATTATAGTAATGTTTACTCATGGCTTTGATATACTTTCGTGTATATAATATAATACCACTTACCTTGCTTGGCGTATGGGGCAAAGACAATTCTGAGAGCGATTCGTTCTTCGATTTAATATAAAGTCAAATTAATGTCAAGCCTTCTTATTTTCTATTTCACGGAATTCAAGACTCCAATTCTTTACGGAGAAAATCTCGTGCAGTTAAAATCGGATAATTTGAATGATTTTAAAACGTTTAAGCATTTGCGAGATACTGGAAATAGATGCCCACACAGAGCTATTATGAAATTACCTTATCAATCTGGCAATAATGCCCTCGGGAAGGGAATTTAGGAGAAATGCGGGACATTTGCGTGTCTGCCCTCCAGTCTCGATACTTGCATGATCACCAATGCATATTATTATCTGTACAACCATATCGCACGGGGGACGATTTCGGAAAATATATACGCGTATATTTTGATACATTCTTGACGATATGACGTTAATTTCGAAGAAAATTGTTGTACGCTTCTTCTCTTCTTTTTTAAAAAAGTTTTTAATAATTTATTATCCGTATTATACTTATTTTTATGTACTTACATTATAAGAACTAATACAAGACTCGTTTGCTGTTAGTGATGCCTGTGTATATATTTTCAATTTAGTATATCAACTCTTTTTTAAATTGTTAAGACTAAAGTAAAGTATAAAGTGACTTTTCGTTTCCTATCTTGGTCCATGGGGTTTGTAGTTGATGAAACTTTTGTGCCCTGTCCAACCGAAACTAAACCGAAACTACTGCAATACGTGGTAAGATAAACGTAGGAAACAATTTGAAATATTATAATGAGGCAATATTCAAACAGGAGTGTTAAAAGAGTTTTTCAGTTTTTTGAAAACAGGGAATATATTATCGATGGATGTGTGTGTGTGGATAAGGGGCGATGCAAATTGCGTCGCCTCTTATCGATGCACTTTATCCTTGGTACTTTTGTGCATATTTTACATATATTTGCCGATAACGTGGGCGGACTCTGCGCCCGCATACTTAATACGAATTACGTCGAACACTCACGTACTAGCGCCCCTGGGTACTGCACAAATTTAGTAGAACCCTAATGACACATTTTATTACGTTTTTTCAGGCACAATACTGAATACAAATGAGCTTTATTAAATCCAAACGCGTCTGTATTGCTTAAATAGTTATTTATTTATATATTCTTTATTGCACAAAAAATAAAAATATTACAAATTAAACCTATATACTAGAATGGAGAGCAATGGGCGGCCTTATCGCTAACAAGCGATCTCTTCCAGGCACCTAAGTTATTTATATAATGAAACCTTTTTAGCGGTAAACACGAAATATACCAGGTTTTATTTTATCTAACGCACTTTACAAAACTTAAGAAAGTAAATGAAAAATAAACTATCACTAATGGTTACTGCTTCACCTACCTGGCTCAATGGTTAAGCACGGGTTCTGGGTTCAAATTCAGGAGTTTCGCCGTGATATTAAAATCTACCATTGAAAACTTTAATATTTTTCCTATATTATTATATAATGCACACGAAGGCATTATATAAATTAAACGACCTTTTTAGGTTGAAATTTTTTTTACAAATGATTTTTTTTACGATTCGTGCCCTTGCCGTTATTTTTTTAATTGTAAATTTAAATTCTACCTATAAATAATAATCGATTACTGGAATTGACAGCCTCATCATGTTCCCAGTTCCCTAACATATACGAGTATGTTCCCCCAAACGTGATTTCACATCATAATTTTCTACACATACAACAATACACTAGAAAAAAAACTTTTATTATTGCAACTCGTAAACTTGCAAGTTGCAACACGATTAAAGACTGAAGCACTGATTTTCAGTGACCACAGTCGCCACCGCTTTTAGATAAACAAAATGCATACATATTAGAAAAGCCGAAAAAAAATGCATAATAAATTTAAAATCACCATATTTAAATATTTCGATGACACGGCCGGGACTTGAATCGGTATCCATAGCTATCCATAGCGCTCTAGAGTCGTCATCGAATTACAATTACGAATAGATATATGCATATAATAAACAATTATAATCTACAATAATGTAAACATAGAAAAGATAATCTGTGGACAGATAATACATCTGTTAATATTATAATCTGTGACATGTAACATAATTGCGCAGACCTGGGGGTATAGCGGTTCGAGCGCGCTGCACGGTCACGAAGCGATCTAAACACAGTCTAACCATGTCTAACTTTGTTCTAAGTGTTCTATCCCTAAGAAATGCCACCATATCCGTCCGCGCTTGAGGCACTGTGCTATAAAAAACCAAGTGTTGCGCAAGAAGGGTTCCGTAGAAATAAAAACTGCAAACAATGACATAATACATCTTTTTAAAAAATCTGACAATTATCTAGTTACTGGCGACAGAGCCACATAAAGTATTTTGCTTGGTACTATACGCCGTAATTAGCCATGAATTCCTAAATTACTTAAGGTTCATATGTTGAAATGTTACTAAAACTACATGACACACAAACATAATAATCAAAAAACGACGATTTCGGTTGAATGATTTTGGTTACCTAATTAACCTCATTACAACTCTTTATTACTTGTGATCATGTAAATAAGATCTTAATGCCTTTATACTAAATGAAACATAAAGGCTTTCTTTTAATTTTTATTAATACGTTATTTAAACTTCTGCAGTTTTTCTAATATCTGCAAATTAATTCGATACACGTAAACCAAATCATGTAAGAAACATTTTTACAGAACATTGTTGGTATTTCCAAGATTTTAGTTGCTTTCGAGTTAATCACTCGATATTAATCTGTTCCATAATTTATATCGTATTAAGGTATCGTACGAAAAATGATAAATTGCAAAACCATAATCACATCTAACCAAAGCTGGTGCAGGGAAACCGTTGTGCAGAATGAAATTAGGTGTAATAAAATGGAGTATAGTAATAAAAGGAGTCGAAATTTTCGAAGCAAATGAGTAGAATGATTGATGTCCATGCCGTATATTGCCTTAGATAGCATGACAAAATTGGGAGGTCATTTTTCAGAAATTTATAACGCTTTATTTTTCCTTCTTGGGAGTTGAGACATAAATTAATTGATAATATACAAACAAAATATAGTACACACCCTTCTTACTAAGTTCATACTCCATCAGAGAATTTCGCTTGGTAACTTTGTCGTTGTAAGACATGGTTCAAAAATTTTCAAAGTCTTTTATAACTTCCCCTCTTCTATAATTTTATCAGCCAGTGAATACCACTAGTAATGACTAGTGCTATTCACTATAAAATGTTATAAGATTAGTTTCTGCAATCAAGAAAATTTATGAGACAAATTAATCAATAGCCCCAAGAAAAAAATGGCCTATAATAACTACATAATTATAAGGTGTCGAAGTCTAATGAACAACCAACAAAAAATCGTGTTAAATTGTCATAATCAAATGTGCTTGTGTGTAGGTAGGTTTTTATATAATAATTCCATAATGTATAATATCTAAACTAATGATAATATTTCACGGTGACAAGAACCGTATAAATCCATGAAAGGATATCGCTTGTTTTACATAAGTAACTGTATATAATATTTCTCTTGAAAAACTATCGATGGTAATTTTTTTGAAAGAATAAAACACCAATTGAATTAATTGACAAACTTGTTTGAAAAATATTTTTAACTACGGCCCGGCGTTTAAACCGTAAAATATATCGCGTTTTAAACCGTTAAATTGTATTTAAATGTGTACTACTCGCGTAAACTACAGACAGTATGTGTATTTATTTTAATGTAATTCCATTATCGATCTAATTTTTTGTAACCGAAAAAGTTTTTTCTATGCTTGAATATAAGCACAATAATTACTTAACTTTAGACTAAAGCATGCATCAATCCGATATTTCGTATTTATCTAGTAGCGTAGTACTATTAATTATCGAAACTTGATTAATAGTTGATGTAACATTCTGTCATTTCTCTTCCCTTAATCGATTAGGTATTTTAAACATACCCTCTAGGGGGTCTCAGCCGACTCACATGTAGCGCTTCAGATGCTGGAGAGACATTAATTATGATAATACTCTATAAAAATATGTATATTGTAGGTCCAAAATAAATAAAAACTCATCAATCAATCACGGAAATGATCTAATAATAAAAAAAAACAGAATTCGAAGTCATTTGGTTAACCTATTTTAATAAATAAGAATAATAAAGAAATAAATAGAATTGTCTTTCTTATGGAGGGAAATTACTCAGATATTGCTGTAACAACCAAATGTAAAACTACTAATAAAAGCCCAATAAAGCATTTCAACTCTCAACAATGAAAGTTCGGGCTTACTTATAAAAAGTGAACACTAAACTTTATTATCACATTTCAATTTATTTACTTGACATATGGAATTCGTCGGCGTTAATTGCTGCTTCTCTTACGTGAAATATTTGTGGGCGTCAGCGCAGTAGAGAAAAGCATTCTATAGAAGATGGTACTCCATGTACACAATGAAAAGATTGAGTCATCATAACAAATGCGCAGCTTCTCCACTGAGAGAAATCTCTACAATCGGCCCCTTATCTATGACGGCTCAGATCATTGTGCTCCGAAAACTTCATGCTTCGCCGTGCTATGACGAAACTAAGCTTCAAGTCTTACCAGTGCCTTTGTTGATTTGTCGAGTTCTGTTCGATTGCTTTTTTATAAACGTCAGACGGCTGCATTTGTAAAGCACAAGTCTAACTTAATAAATCTTATCTAAAGCATCTCATACAGCGTGTTCCTTTTTAAGGTCGATGCCTGCGTCAAATTTGATGGTTTTAATCATCATTTTAGAAAGATTACCGAATAATATTTAAAACAAATTCTGATTCATAATATAAATAGAAAACAATGTTAAGAAATTAGGAGCATTGTAATAGTACCTATATATTATCTATAGTTACCTATAGATTATACAAAAAACTGCCGACAGATGTTACGTAACTAAACTCCCATATTATAAGTTATTAAAAAACCATTATTACCAGTTCAAAAAATAGTATGTGGCTCAAAATGTATATGTCTACGCGAAAAATATAACCTGTATTATGTTTGACATCTATATTTATAGCCCTTTGATTATCTGTGGGAGTGATAGAAACTGTGAGACGTGAGCGGGAATATTGCCTTAATTTTGACTGAATGAAAATGTTTTGCTTAAAAAAAAAGATCGCGTATGATTAACAAAAGCCCAGTAAAGTAAAATAAACAAATTTGACGGAATAACATTCTTGTAAATCTAAGTTGTAGCAGTATATAAATAAAGTTATCTATAGTTTTTTCTAATTGAAGGTCCTATTTATGTGCGTTTTAATTTGGGATTTTCATAATTACTAGTGTGAATAGAAAAAGCAGACTAATTTAACAATTTACAAATATATATGTAATATAAATGATTTATGACGAACGAGCTTAAAAGCAACTTAGCTTTAAAAGTTACATTTTAAATAGAATGGAACCGGCTATCTGAAATATCGAAATGCATCTTTTGTCATTCTGTCAGACAGTAAAGTTACACATTTGTCGAGGCAGCCGCTCGAAAGCTGCATTTTTAGAATTATTAATTTACTTTGTTCTTGTACTGTGTTAAACTGGACGACTTTCTGCCAACTTTATAAATAAAAGATCGATTCACTGGCGCACGAGATTGTTTAATAAATATAAGCAGATAAATAAGTCGGTAACGTAGACTGTAGTGCCACAGTGTACAAAAATATCGTTGGTTAAACTGTTTTAAACTGTGTGAATATTTTAGACAGAGTATATATAGTCTATAGTTTATGCGAGTAGTACACATTTAAATAAAACACTAAAGGCTTAAAACGCAATATATATTAGTCAAACTTATTTGAAAATTAATTTAACTACTGCCCGACGTTTCGGATGCTTTGCAGTAGCCGTGGTCACGGGGAGACCTGAGATCCTGAGTAGTTCGTGTCATCGCATGTGATGAAGCATGAATATTAAAATATTGATATAATTATAGAGAACTGCCATCTTATCTTTGCCATAAGTGAATATCCTATTGTGTATATTCTTTAATAAGATTTCCTTTCTTTTTTCCAGGTGGAAGTTGTAATATTGGACAAAAACGATAGTCCGCCCGAGTTCAAGAACATACAGCCAGCATACATGGCATCCGAGGATCTTGCTCCCGGGCAGATCATTGCGAGGATCATCGCAGAAGATCCCGACACAATTGGATCGATTGCGTACAGCATACAGTCAGATGGAAGTACGCCATTCCTATTGGACAGGCTCACTGGAGATTTGAGTCTTAAAGAGCCATTGGATAGAGAAACAACGTCAGAGTATGAAGTGATCATTCGCGCTGATGATGGAAACCAATTTACAGATGTCGCCATTGTTGTCCAGGTAATTTTCCACTACCATCTTTTGGTACACCAGGCGCTTTAGAGTCAGTATTGTTTGGCGAAAACCAACAACTTATAAAAACAAAATATACTCTATTTTTACACATATTTTAATTATCAACATTGAGTTAGTAACAGATAATGCACAACTTCAACATAATTACGGTGGTGGAGAACGATCTCAAAATTACTTATACTACTGTTCTACACATATACATATAAATGTAAAAAAAAATACTTCTACATAATACTTACACAAATTACACTTTTCAGGCTTCTTACAAATCTCTTTATAAATATACTATATCTTTAACAACAAATGATTTATATTCAGTTAAAATATTAAGTAGTATAATTTGATGCGCTATGATATTCATTTAGATATGTTTTATGATGTTCCTTAGTTAAACAGTAAAGTTGCTTTAATATTTCATTGACACAAATAGATAGTAACCATTTAATAAAACACTTTAATGTAACACACAACACACAAAATTAGTCTTTAACAACAAAATGACGTGACATTTTTAAATACTGTCCAACAAAAATGTTCATGAGACTACCCTACTCATAATTAATAATTTAAGTAGTATTATTCACATTTAAACCTGTTAAAAATGGTTCTATTTCATATTTTCCGCTCGAATAAATTGCAGAAAAATATCTACTGAAAAATGTATGTGACACGGCACGACTTGAACCGGCATCTACAGTGTTCCGTGCTGTTACTTTAACCATTTGAGCTATCGTGTCTTACACGTCAACATACATTTTTTTTACGTCTCGCGCATTTATAGTCCACTTTTAACTTATATAGCGGCATCATGTGCAATAACATGTAAACAATATTAAAGTTTTCACATGTATGTGGTTCACAAAGTTGTTTTATAAGTGTAAATAATCTTTCTAGGTCACGGATACGAATGATAATCCACCCGTCTTCAAGGAAAGTGCATACTCCTTCGATGTAGCGGAGAATGCAGCGCGAGGCTCCGTTGTCGGCACAGTAGAGGCCATTGACCTCGACTGGGGCCCTAACGCTCAGCTGACGTATACCGTGATCTCTGACTGGGCTAATGATGTCTTCTCGCTGAACCCACAGACCGGTGTCTTCACGCTGACAGCGAGACTTGATTACGAAGAGGTAACAACACACTTTGTCACAGGTTTACACTCAAGCTAACGTCGCTTTGGCTTATAAAGTATTTTGATTCCTATAAAAATAGTTCTTGTGTGTTAATCATAAAAGATAGATAGATTGCCACATTTTTTTCGATGATTTGAAGAAAATTTTTTATTTATTGCTTTCGCAGCGACACAAAAAAATATTAATTATCCCCGTTTGTTTCACATTTCCCTCTGTGTCTTCGCTTGGCCGTAGCCTAATGTTTTTTTTTATTCTAAAGTCTTCCTCAATAAATGATCCAATTATTGGGGAAGACTTTAGAATAAATTTAACGACAATAAAGAATGAGAAGAATATCCTCTGAATCAAAGTGTTTATCAAGCATATTTATTAATTGTCTTCATGTTTTATTGAGAGAGTTATAAAGTTAAATATTTTTTTTTGTGATTACCCTTCGAAAAAAAATTGAAAAAAGTTCTCGTAACTAATTGTTTCATTATAAGAAACGTAACGAGACGCGTAGATTTATAAATCGTTTCAAATAGAATTGATCCACTTATTGAATCCATAGTTCAATAGTTAAAAGTGCTATCTAGCATTTTGTTAAACACAAGAGGTCCCGGGTTCGAATCCCGGGGGAACTACAAGCCGTTTCGGGGGTACAGAAGTCTGATAAATAGAATCTACGCAGAGATGTCTTCGCCCCATTCCCCACGGGGACGAGCAGGGTTTCACTCCTTTTACACGATCAAAAATAAAGCGGAACAATACGAGGTGCGTAGCTGCGCCGTAAAATAACATAAAAACATGCTTAAAGGTTAAGTGATTAAAATCGGCCAGATAAACGTTCTCAGAGGTAAATAATAGCCAATTACTGTCGTTCTTTCGACCGACTTCGTTTCTGCGGTAATGAGTTTTTATGAAAACTTTTATACGTAGGATATTATCTTTTACTTAGGTTTCATCTATTGATTTTAATCTTGTTTTACTATATGTATGTAAGAGATTCAATATGTAGCACTAAATTGATACTACACTTTAATTAGGCGGCTTAAAATTTGGGTCTAAAACTAAACGTTGGTATGAGACCCAAGAAATAGTAACCAACAATTATTATCAAATAACTTTATCATATAGAAAGAGATTTGTATATTTGTTTTGGAAATCATTATAACTTACTTGTTAAATAAATTGTGTAAGGCTTTCACGGCCATCGTTCAGCCATCACGTGTGACTTTAATTTTATAAATTATTATTATTATTATTAATTCTTCGAGCAATCGAGGAGTCAACATCTCCTGATGATGCCGTCCACACGTGATGGCGAAACGTCGAGAACCTCTTCTCGCTCACATCGTCCGAACAGCCCGAAAGACAATGATAAACTTACTTGTTATTCATTTTGTAAGGACAAAATGAATCACAAGTAAGTAAGTATGCAATATTGAATTTGTAATCATTTCTTCAAGTTTTAAAAATTAATTGGTTTAATTCAGTATTGTTTTAATAAAAGAAATATGAACATAACTTAATTTGAACTATATTCGGCTGAAATTTGGTCTCCAGCTTATCCTATATTATAATGGAATAACTGATCCAATTCCATAAGTTAAACTTACCGTTGATCGCTAGAGTACACAGGCTTCCGAAGACCATCGTCTCACAATTTCTGTGTACCTGGACATATTGCGGTTGATACAATTATCTCAACATAGATCTACAGTAGGGCGTTGACCGTTTATAGCTGTTCTAGTACACGACGCTACGTCCAAAACTTGTCTGTGAGTTTTTAAAATATCTGCATAGTGAAAAATTCCGTGTTATATATAGATATTTCAATTAAGATTTTAATGAAGGGAATAGTAACTACTCCATTCATTAAAAGATAACATAAACTAAATACTGTCTGTAGTTTATTCGAGTAGTACACATTTAAATAAAACTCTACAACGGTTTAAAACGCGATATACATTAGTTAAACTTATTTGAAAATATTTTTAACTACGGCCTAATTAAAATAAATAAGCCGGAAAATGTAAGCTACGGCCTCCAGTTTGCGACGTATTCGTAACTTCTTACCCATTCCCACCAGAATTGCCCTCGCTCAATCTCTTCTCCTCCGTTCTCTTGATTATGCTGACGTGTGTTTTTCCAACCTCGACTATTCAACTTGATAAACTGGAACGACTACAAAACATGGCAATTAGATTTGTGTTTGGCCTTCGTAAATTTGACTATGTTTCTAAATTTCGCTCCGCCCTCGACTGGCTCCCTATTCGTTTACACAGGAATCTACATGTTCTTTCTATTCTTTTCCAAATACTCGTCGATCCTAAGACTCCAACTTACCTGAAAGAAAAATTTGAGTTCCTCTCCGATAAAGGCCATAATCTCCGTCTGAACGAAAGCCTGACTCTACGTTTTCCTTCTTACTCAACTAGATTCTATGATTCATCCTTTCATGTCAGAGCTATAAAACTTTGGAACAATTTACCTTCTAATATAAGAAAAGCCCAGAATCTCGCTTCCTTCAAGAATCTTGTCAAGTCCCACTATTTATGCTTAATTAAGTAACTTAGTTAAGATAGTAATTTAATGATTTTTAGGTTAAGCTCATTTTGTTTATTATTAGTTTTAGTATGTAAGTTAAGCCTTTTTTTCTACAGTCACGCAATCCTTTTTTATTACTGAATTTTCATTTCTATCACACTTGCTTGGAAGAGATAGCTATTTAGCTATAAAGTCGCCGTTTGTCCTCAATTTCCATCAATTTATATATATATATATATATATATATATATATATATATATATATATATATATATATATATATATATATATATATATATATATATATATATATATATATATATATATATATATATATATATATATATATATATTGTTGTTGTTTTGTTTTGTGACAATAAAGAATATTAGTATTGTATTGTAATATATATCTCGCCCGTGGAAAGGTTGGAAGTTATTTGACAAATGTGAAGGACAAAGGTAGCGCACGCTGCAAGGACTCAAGTCAAACAGCAGCGCTAATTAGTAAAAACGATTCGCAAGTACATTCGTTTTCTCGACCGCCCGCCAATTCCCCGTACCGCGCTAGAGAGCTGCTAATTTCATCCCGGTACAGTTTTTTCGCGTCGCGCATCATATTCGGCATTTGGCAACTCGATCCGCCATCGAAATTAAGGCCCGAACAATGTCTGACAAAGCGGCCGTCCGCAAAACATTCGAGAGCCGGATTCCGTGGCCGCTGCCTGTTTTTGGGGTTCCGTACGTATAGGCTGAAAACGGGACTCCTAAGTTTTCTTTTTAATGATGGAGGAGGAGGGACAAGCATGGGGTTCATATAACAGCCATATAATATCTACACACGATGCGCTATCGATCTATTTTGACTTTGGATATTCAGAAACCTGTGTTCGTGACCTGGACGGTATATGGATATTGCTACCACCTGTATAATATGCAGATTTCCAGACGTAGTCTGACATGTTTCAGAAGAATTATAAAGACCCGTTGATTATTAACCATACATTCCAACCATTAAACGCCCGTCGAGGATATCGTTGTCTTTTTGTGACTAGGATGTATGTCATTAAGCGCGATACCTAAATAGTTCAAATTTTCACAAATTATGCATCTGTTGCCGTTTATCATAATTATCAAATATAACAACAATTACAAAAGGAAATTACAAAAAATTTAGTCAAAGATACGGAACCATTAGTGTGCGACATCGACTCGCTCCCAGCCAGTTTTATTTAAATGCCCATCCCGCTCACGAAACGAATGAAAGGGCTCGTCATAGCTGGGACGTTTTGGTGTACTATTACCTATAAGAAAATTTTAACTTTGCGTTCTTTGAATACATTTTTAATACTTTCGAGTTAATGACTACGTCCCTTTAAAATTGTTTGCATTTGACAATAACTGATCATGTGGACATATCTTGATTGTACATTTTTGCAAAATGATTTATTAGAGATATTTTATTTAATTGATGGTAGGAATATAGAAATTCCGTCCGGGTCACTAACCATCGTCCACGGATGAAAACGCCGTGAACCTTAATCGCGTTTCGGTTTCAGTCTGTGGATTTCCGAATATCCAAAACACAGAATAGGTCGACATCTTGGTTAGATGCTATAGGCGGGGATATATGACCTACCATCAAGTGAATCCATGCCATGTCTGTCCTCCTCTATCATAAAAAAAAACTAGCTATGCCCCCGACTTCGATCGCGTGGTATAGTTATTTTGTCACACGACGTCGCCCGCGTCCCGTTCTTGCGAGTAATCTTGAAAGATAGATAGACATATACTGATGACAGTTTAGATCATTTACAGAAAAATCATTATTGAGATTAGCATTATAGTATTTTAGTTATTATTTTTAAGTCCATTTCTATAAACTTTGCAAATAGGCCATGAATTTCTAAAAATTAAATACTGATAATTGCCCGGTTGCGCAAAAGATGTACCCAGGGGTTTTACCGCTTTACCATTGAGGCATGTTATAATTTTAACGACATAATAATAAAAACCAATGCAAAGTACATAAAGGTACAAATTACAAGAAATTATGACTATAATTATATAAATTGTTGTTTTCAGACACCGCATTATATTTTAGTGACGCAAGCGCAAGACAACGGGCACCCGTCATTATCAGGAACAGTTACCATTTATATTAATGTCATCGATCTGAATGACAATGCTCCAGTTTTCGATCCGATGAGTTTTGCTAACGAAATTCTTGAAGACGTACCAGTTGGCACTTCTGTGGTGACCGTGAGTGCGACCGACTTAGATTCTGGTAAGTCTTCATATTATACTGTACTAGCGATCAGCCCCGGTTTCGCTCGGTTGCAATGCTGGTACTAAATACAATACAGAAAACCTGTAAACGTTGGATATAAAAACCTTCTTCTTGAATCACTCTATCTATTAAAAAACCGCATCAAAATCTGTTGCGTAGTTTTAAAGGCGATTTTGTTTTATTCTATGTAGTGATTAAGTTATGTCAATAGTTTACGCGTCTAATATAGATAAATAAACAAATCTTTACACAAATAATATCACAAATTCATTTTCACCTAAGTTATTTGCGTATTTTTATTTTCCAACTTATTGAAAGTCATGTTTTTGTTCTCTAGCAGCACTCATTTTTACTTTTATATAAAACACTTATGTAATCTAAGATTTATGTAATTTAACTCAATGTTCTCTTACTATTTAGGTTGGAATGGTAAACTGGCATATACTATCACATCGGGTGACGATGATGGGGACTTCACAATATCTCCTAACGGAACCATTAAAACTGTAAAGCTATTGGATAGAGAGAAAGTTCCTCTGTATAATCTGATAGTAACAGCTAAGGATTTGGCAAAGCCCCCTGAACCCCGGTTATCGTCTACTGTACAGGTAATTATAAAAGTCACTGTGAAGAAGCAATGTGAAAATGTATATAATATTGAATAAATAAGTATATAGCGTATGTTTTTAATATAACTTAATAAACTAAAATATTTGACTGCAAGATATCAAAAATATAAATTAAGTTATTGCTTTAGTATCATAATAATCTTCAAAGCACATGACTCTTTTTGAATTGTTTTCTAGATGAGAACATTTTTAGATAAGAATTGTATCCTGATATTTTATTGTTGTTGTGATTAATATTTATATTTCTTAAATCTAAATTTCAGGTCACAATACAATTGAAAGATGTAAATGACATGGCGCCCGAGTTTGTTAGTTCTAACTTCACTAGTATCTCTGAAAATATACCCTTAAACACTGTTATAATGACAATAAAAGCAATCGACAAAGATGAGGGAAGAAATGGATATGTCGAATATTTTATGGATTCAAGTCCTGAAAATAATGGTTACTTTTCTTTGGGAAATGTGGATGGCATTCTGCGAGCTACTGGTAAGCTTGACCGAGAACTGAAGTCATCCTACACAATAAGTGTTAAAGCAAAAGACAGGGGTGATCCGCCTCAGGTTACTTCAACTAAAATCGAAATTAAAATTCTGGATGAAAATGATAACAGCCCTGTCTTCGACCCAAAACAGTACAGCGCGTCTGTGCCAGAGAACGCTAGCATTGGCGCTAGCGTATTACAGGTATGCATTGGTTTTTCGTAGACTCGATTATAGATCAACTTAGAAATTTCTTTTTTATTGATATGCAAATCTTATATGCCTTATTTTGTTTACATGAAATAAAATGTGTTTCAGGTTTCTGCAACTGACATTGATGAAGAGGCGAATGGAAGAGTTAGATATTCCATTGACTCTGGAGATGAAAATAGGGATTTTAGCATAAGTGAAGATACAGGCATCGTAAGAGTGGCAAAAAATTTGAATTTTGAAAGAAAAGCTCGATATGTTCTTACGATAAGAGCGGAAGATTGCGCCAAAGACGATGTGCGTTTTGATACTGCTGAGCTGTCCATTTTATTGCAAGACATTAACGATAACCCACCGACATTTTTGGACTCACCTTACTTAGCTAATGTTATGGAAAACGTGATTCCGCCAAATGGAGGCTATATATTAACCGTACATGCTTATGACGCCGATTCACCCCCCTTTAACAATCAAGTGCGATATTTCATTAAAGAAGGTGATGCAGATCTATTCAAAATAAATGCTTCATCAGGACAAATATCTTTGTTAAGAACACTGGACCGCGAGGCTCAAGATGAATATACTTTATCTTTAGTTGCTATGGATACAGGTAATTCATAATTTTTAGAAGTCTAAAATCTATTCATATTTTAGTATTACTTATATTCTAATTTTTTTGTTATATAAGTATACTTAATGTTTATTTTTTCTTTTCAGGTTCACCCCCATTGACAGGTTCAGGAACAGTTAAAGTAATCGTACAAGATGTGAATGACAATAGCCCAGATTTTGAAAGGCTGAATTACAGAGCACATATTAGGGAAAACTCTCTTCCGGGAACTTTAATATTAAGCCCAAGAGCAATCGATAATGATATAGGTAATAATGCCAAGATTCGATACACACTGCTTGGCGAAAAATCTGAAAGATTTACAATAAATTCAATAACCGGAGATATTTCAACGAATGAAACTTTAGATAGGGAAGAATGGGAAATATATTACCTAATTGTTATGGCGCAAGATTCCTCTACAACAGACCCCCGAACTGCAACTGCTAATGTTACAATAATAATTGAAGATGAAAATGATAACTCTCCAACATTTTCCCAAACTATATACGAAGTCTTTATATCTGAGAAAACAAAGTCAAATGACTTTATTTTTGGTGCAAAAGCTAAAGACAACGATATTGGGATGAATAAAAAAATTGTTTATGACTTAAGAGGGGAATATAAACACTTATTTAATATCAACCCACAAACTGGCGTCATTAAGGCTAATAAAGATCTAACAAAATATAATGACAGATCAAGAACATCGAATTCATTTAATCTCATAATCGTAGCGACAGATAATGGTATTGTACCTAGGCAAAGCACAGCAGATTTAATACTTATACCTAAGTCGGGAAAAAACTTTCCTCAATTCTCTGGACCAAATAAATTAACTTTTACATTTCCGGAAGATACACCCGAAGGTGTTTTAGTTACTCGGCTATCCGCTTCTTCACCAAAAAAAGGAGCACTTGGTTTATTGCAATATTCAGTGGCGGGAGGTAATGTAGGAGATGCGTTGAGAGTTGAGCCAATTAGCGGTGAAGTTTTCATAACGGGCAAAGGATTTGACTTTGAAACGATGCCTCTTTACGACGTGTGGTTTGAAGTTAAGGACTCTGATAATCCACCGTTGAAATCGTTTATAGAAATTGAAATAAAAGTTACCGATGCAAATGATAATGCACCACTTATTGAGCAAATTTTATATAACGCAACTGTACCTGAAGAAGAATCACCTCCGCAATCCGTAGTAAAAATTTTCGCACATGATGATGATTCAGATGAAAATGGAAGAATAACTTTTAGACTTTTAAATGACTATGAAGAAACTTTTGTAATAGATTCGTTCAACGGAGAAATTTATACAAATATAGCATTAGATAGAGAAGCGATTCCATTTTATGAAATTATAGTTGAATCCATCGATCACGGCGTTCCTCAATTAACGGGAACGTCAACTGTTCTCGTTACAGTCTCTGATAAGAATGATAATCCACCGAGATTTACGAGACTTTTCAGTGTAAATGTAACTGAAAATGCCGATATTGGATCATTTGTCATAAAAGTTACAAGCTCTGATTTAGATATTGGTCCTAACGCTAACGCAACCTATAGTTTTGTTGAGAATCCTGGTAATAAATTTGTCATCGATCCACTAACTGGTAATGTTACGGTTGCTCGATCTTTAGACAGAGAAATTCAAGATGAATATATTTTGAAAGTTGCTGCTATTGATGGAGCGTGGAGATCAGAAACTCCCTTAACAATTACTATACAAGATCAAAACGACAATGCTCCTGAATTCGAATATTCCTATTACAGTTTCAATTTTCCGGAGTTACAAAAGAAAAATAGTTTCGTTGGACAAGTCATTGCGACTGATAAAGACAAACAAGGTCCTAATTCCATAATATCATATTCTTTACAACAAACGTCTGATTTGTTTTCCATAGATCCTGCAACCGGTGAGATATTAAGTAAATTTACTATGAACTATAAACGGACAGCAGTCAATCCATCTCCAGAAAATACTTACTCGGTGACTGTAGTAGCAACAGATAATGGAAAACCTCCTATGTCCTCGGAATGTCTTGTTACAATTAATATTGTTGACGCCAATAATAATAAACCTCAATTTACATCACACGAAAAAATTGTACCTGTACCGTTTGATGCAACGGTTGGTGAAAGAATAATACAACTGGAAGCAAAAGATACTTTGGACTATGGTATCAATGCTGAAATTGAATACTACGTATTTAATGGCAATGGAACATCATATTTTTCTATAGATAAAGAATCAGGTTGGATAACAGTCAGTAAACAATTTAAGAATGTTGGACGATTTTACGATATCAAAGTAAAAGCTATTGATCGAGGAGTCCCTCCACAATTTGATGAAACTTATTTGATATTCGTTATAACGGGTGAAAATATTCATAATCCTAAATTTACTGCTCTTAGTTATCAAGTAATAGTTCCAGAAAATGAACCTGTCGGATCCACTATATTAACACTGGTAGGTAGTGATGAAGATGATGGCCCCAATGGAATAATACGATATGAAATTTCATCAGGAAATGAGGACGATGTGTTTCAGATCCACCCAAAATCTGGTAAAATAAGTATACTTCGATCCCTCGATTACGACGAGGTTCAAGAGTATCGACTTAATATTACAGCTAGAGATTTAGGTTTCAAGCCCAAGGAAGCGACAGCAACAGTGACAATTATTTTAACTGACATAAATGATAATGCTCCTGTATTTAACCAAACTCGCTACCAAGCATATTTGCCCGAAAATTCGCCAGAAGATACTTTTATTTTTAGAGTACAAGCGAATGACATTGATTCACCAAAGAATGCTATAATCAGGTATCACATCCATAATCCTATATCTTCATTATTTTACATCAATGAAAATAGTGGTAAAATATACTCCAAAACCGTATTTGACTATGAAGAAAAAAGTGTTTACAAACTAGAGATTTTAGCAGAAAATCCAGATTCAATTATGCGAAGCACAACAGAAGTTATTATTCACATTACAGGAGTTAATGAATTTTATCCTAAATTTGTGCAACCAGTGTTTCATTTTGATGTATCTGAGTCAGCAGAGGTTGGCACGAAGGTTGGGGTCATACAAGCAACAGATCAGGATAGTGGTGATGATGGAGTTATTTACTATCTTTTTGTAGGTTCGAGTAACGATAAAGGTTTCAGTATAAACTCTCAGACCGGTGTTATAAGAGTAGCTCGTTACCTGGACAGAGAAACTCAAAATAGAGTTGTTCTGACAGTACTGGCTAAAAATTATGGAAGCATACACGGAAATGATACTGACGAGGCGCAAGTTATTATATCGATTCAGGACGGTAACGACCCTCCAGATTTTTTGCGTCATTACTATGAAGCTACAATCTCCGAAGGAGCAGCTATTGGCGAAACAGTTCTACAAGTTCAAGCTGTTGATAAAGATGTACGGCCACAAAATAATCAATTCAGTTATTCAATAATTTCTGGCAATGGTAATCATGACTTTAAAATAGATCCTCAAACTGGTGTTATAGAAGTCAGTAGATTCCTTGACCGTGAAAAGCTCCCTTCATATTCAGTTATCGTTGGTGCTATAGATACCGGAATTCCACCACAAACTGGAACCGCAACTGTAAAAATTACATTAACTGATATAAACGATAACGGTCCTATTTTCGACACTGAAAACTTTGATGGCTCTGTTTATGAAAATGAACCTCCTAATACCAGTATCACTACACTTTCTGCTAAAGACCCAGACCTACCCCCTAATGGTGCACCATTTTCATATAAAATTATTGGAGGAAAACACCAAAGCTTTGTAAAAGTCCACAAACATACTGGCGTACTTTTGACAACCAAGAAAATTGACCGCGAAATAACTCCATACCTAGAAATTGTCATTCAAATAGAAGACAGCGGCACCCCAGTAATGACATCAAATTATACCATTCAAGTTAAAGTTTTAGACAGAAATGATAATCCACCTACACCGAGATCAGTTCATGTCTTAGTTTATGCTTTTAATGACAAATTACCAGCTAGTAAGATTGCTGATGTAAAACCGAACGATCTCGATACAGTCGGAGATTACAAGTGTAAAATCATCAAAGAATCGACTACAGAATATACACTATCACTATTAACAATAAGAAAAGGTTGTGATCTTTTTACCAATTCTGTTAAACCAGGACAAGGCTATTCATTTTCTGTGTCAGGAAATGATGGTATTCATAAAGATGTGGTATCATCAGTAAGTGTTGAGTACTTTTCATTTGATAACAGTACAGTTGCTCAATCTGTAACACTTCGAGTAATCAACATAACTGCAACAGACTTTTTGAGGAATTATTATCGTGTTTTATTAGAAGTTTTAAAGATTGGCCTAAAAAACAAAGAAATCATTTCTTTGTACAGTATAAATGACATCAAAGATAATTTGGACTTAACAATAGCTATCAAAGAAAACGATTACATTTGGAAAAAAGAAAATACTGAAATGTATCTTATATCAAAGGAATTAGAAATCAAAAAGGTTTTAAAGAAACAAGTTATTATACCGTACTTCCCGTGTATAAAAAATCCTTGTGAAAACGATGGTATCTGTACGGATGCAATAAATGTATTAGACGATACTAAAATAACCGAAAGTTCAACACTTATTGTTGCATCACCAATAGTAGAACACAATCACGAATGTAATTGTAATGAAAGGTTTGTGGGTAAAAACTGTGAAAAACGACAAGATCCATGTTCACCGAACCCGTGCAAGTTTGGAGCCGTATGTCGTAAACAAGGCCACGATTTTATGTGTCATTGCCCGCCGAGACGGGAAGGAAAAACGTGTGAAATTGAAAGGGATGATGCTTGTAGTAGTAACCCGTGTAAAAATGGCGGATCATGCAAAGAAAGTTCAGATCGAAGTTCATTCTTTTGCCTGTGCCGTCCAGGATACCGCGGAAATCAATGCGAAGGTCTAGTTGACTCATGTAGACCTAATCCTTGTTTGTACGGAGGAATATGCATTAGTCTGAAGCCTGGATACAAATGCAGTTGTACAAATGGTCGTTATGGGACACACTGTGAAAGTTCAACGTTTGGCTTTAATGAACTATCATACATGCAGTTCCCAGCCTTAGATGCATCTACTAATGATATAACACTCATATTTGCTACCACAAAGTCTGATTCTCTTTTATTGTATAATTACGGAGCTCAAACAGGAGGAAGATCGGATTTCATAGCTATAGAATTACTTGGAGGAAAGCCGGTGTTTTCCTTTGGAGGAGCTCGAACTTCTATTACTACGGTGGCTATTACGGATACTGAAAGAAACTTAGCTGATGGCAAGTGGTACAAGTTGACAGCGACCCGAAATGGCCGAGTAATATCACTAAGTATTGCTACCTGTACTGACCATGGCGATATTTGTACCGAATGCGAGCCCGGCGATAAATCTTGTTATGACGATGATACTGGACAAGCAGGGTTAGTATTTCGGTTTAAATTTCCAAATTTAATAATTTTATTTTTATTTAAACGTATGAAGAAAAAACTAATAACAAACAAAACAAATGGAGAGTTTTGTATAAATTATATCGTTACACAATGTACCTACCGTTGTATAACAATGTACCTACCTTTTTTCCGTGATAGTAAGATATGCTTCTTTATGTTTCAGAACTCTCAACTTTAACAACGAACCTCTTCTCATTGGTGGATTGAACAAAGCAGATCCAGTGTTGGAGAGACCAGGACAGATACATTCTGATGACTTCGTGGGTTGCATGCACAGTATAACGATAAATGGACGTCTTTTGAATTTGACAAATCCAATTAAAGCCCGGGGAGTCGAGTCTAATTGTGGCAGATCAGAAAGAGGAGCTTGTTTCAAAAATGATATATGTGGAAATGGTGAATGCGTTGATCGCTGGAAAACAAATTATTGTCACTGCGGTAATAGTCTCTTGTCACCAGATTGTAGTTCGGCGCTTCAAAGCATTTCTCTGACAGAAAGTGGTTTTGTAATTTTCACAATATCCGAAAAGCATAGAAGGATGCAACTTCTTGAATCATTTTACGGGGGTAATACTGATTGGGATAAAAAATTAAACAAAAATATTGGAAAACAAGTTTCAAAAGCTAATAATCCAGTAAAAATATTATCGTTCCTTTTTAAAACTCATAAAGCGTTCGGATTGCTATTCTATGCAGCTACAGATAAGTATTATACAGTATTAGAACTAATCGAGGGTAAAGTTAGTTACAGTTCAAAACAAAATTCCTTGATAAACATGACACAAACAGAACAACTAGATGTATCCGATGGTAATTGGCACAATGTGACTTTATTCGGATATGGAAGAAGCATTAAACTAATTGTGGATGATAAAACGCTCGGAGAAGAACTCGATGCTGCAAGTGTGCATGATTTTCTAGATCCGTACTTAACCGTTATGTCGTTAGGAGGGGTAAAGTCAGAGTGGATATCGTCTTATCAAAAGTTTGAGGGATGTCTTGCGAATTTCACAATAAATCATGAAATCCAGCCATTTGCTGGAAACGGAAGTATCTTTAAAGAAGTAACCCGAAAAGGAAAAGTAATATCTGGATGTCACAGCGCTTTTGGTGTAGGTTTAACACAGAATCCAGATCCGTTAAGTATTGGAATAACATTAGTGATATCATTCTTTATTATCTTAATAGTGGCAATATTAGTATCATTTGTTGTTTTTCGGTTACGAAAGCAAAAGAAGGAAAAAAATGGGGTACCAAACACGAAAAGTAATGTGGTACATTCCAAACAAAATGGTGGCCCAGCAATGCTAAATGCTCCAAATTTGATTGCGGGTACAAACGATAACCTATTAAATAGAAATATGCACAGCAATGAAACAAGTCTTAATAGTTACATGTCTGAAAACGCAGATATAATGCGCAATGTTGGTCACATTGTCGGTCCAGAATTGTTGTCTAAAAAGTACAAAGATAGGGAAATTATGAATATAGATCCTCCGAGGCCTCAAAGACCGGATATAATCGAAAGAGAAGTAGTAGGAAAAAGTCCGGCTCTAAGAGACGATCATCACGTACCTCCCCCACCATCAACAAATACATCGCATTCCCATAGTCATGACCACCCTAGTGGTATGGACTTAAATTCAGAAGTACCGGAACATTACGATCTCGAAAATGCAAGTTCAATAGCACCGTCCGATATAGACATTGTATATCATTATAAGGGATTTAGGGAAGCTGCGGGCGCACGAAAGTATAAAGCAACACCTCCGCCTATAGCAAGTTATCATCATAAACATCAAAATCCACAACATAGACATTCCCCACACCATTCTAGCGGTTATCCACCCAGAGTCTTACCACAAGCGTCACAACCGCCTCCTCAGCCCAGACAACATCAAACCACTCCTCTTGCTAGACTTTCTCCTAGTAGTGAACTCAGTCAACAGCCTAGAATATTAACCCTTCACGATATTTCCGGTAAACCTCTTCAGAGTGCTTTGCTGGCCACAACGTCGAGTTCAGGAGGCGTGGGCAAAGATGCGCTGCACAGTAATAGTGAACGAAGTCTAAATAGTCCTGTTATGTCTCAATTAAGTGGACAAAGTTCTTCAGCCGGTAGAAAAACACCTAATGTATCTGGGCAAGCTACACAAGTGTCCGTTGGTTCTGGAGCCGTGGGTCTTACAGCCGAAGAAATAGAAAGAATGAATGCTAGACAGCGTACATCCAGTTTGGTATCTACATTAGATGCAGTTTCAAGTTCCAGTGAAGCACCGCGCTCTGGGGGCGTAAGCCATCACATGTCCCATCGACATCATTCACCACCCGTTGATAATAGAAGTTCTACAGGATCTGATGACGAAAGTGGAAATGACAGTTTCACTTGTTCCGAAATAGAATACGATAATAATAGTTTAAGTGCGGATAAGCCCGAAGACGTACGAAGATCTAATGTTAGCAATACAAATAACAATAAAAAGCCAATATTACCCCCACCATATGAAAGTTTCGATTCTTCCTTTCGTGGATCTTTAAGCACTCTAGTCGCATCGGATGATGATTTAGCTCCTCATCTAGGTTCGGCTTTGTACAGACAAGCTAATGGATCACCTGCGCCGGCAACATTAGGATGGGACTATTTATTAAATTGGGGACCAAATTTTGAAAGTATGATAGGTGTATTCAAAGATATTGCTGAACTACCAGATTCAGTAAATGGTCGTATGTCTTCCTCCTTAAGGCTTCCAAATGGAACACCGAAACCGTCAGAAGAGTATGTTTGAATCGTTTATAATTAACATTTTGTAAATAAATAGGATTAATATGTACATAAACGTTATGATCTTGTATCAAGATCTCTCTAGGCTAGTTTTTCTTGCCATATTTTTTTGTTTATAATTATGTACAAATAGGTTTATATGTAATATTTAGGTGCGTACGTCCTAATTAAAAACCTCATTTTCATCTTGTAATTTATGTAAATATATTGTAAATAGTGGTAGGTTTTACAACATTTAAATGTGCCTTTTTCAAAATTATATAAGTGAGAATCGTAATTAATCAGACAATTTTCCATCCTTAATATGACACTATTTTTTGTATTTAATTAATTGTACCGAAATTGCCTTATGGTCTAATATTTGATGATAAGTTTAATTTAATTCGCGTCTCTAATAATTGCATATTTATAAACCATATTTAAAATAAAAAGCAATAGTTGAATAAATTCGCAAAACATACTAATTCAATTCATGATATTTTATGTCCTTACAATATACTACAACAATACAATATTATATTACAACACTATCATCATTTATAAGACAGTTACATCATTGTTATTCGAATTCAGACTGAACTATTAAAGTTACTATAACTTATTCCGTAGTTGGTATGTGATAGTCTGTCACAAATTTATGGTATCTTGACGATGTGTCAGCCATACTTGTAGTGAATTACGTGCCAAATGTTACTTCTGTTCGAGAGAACCGACTGATTTTGTGTAAAAATAAATTAAATCATATTTTAAATAAATTTGTTTTAATTACTTCCTTTTTCTCATTAACGATTAGCACAATGCATCATAATAGGATAATTTCCTTATCTGTTTCCACATTAAGCCTTTTTAATTCTTTAGCCACCTCAAGTCATTGGCTTAAGACACCACAGTGTTATCAAATTTAAGTTGGTAAAGCCTTATTTTATCGCTACCTATATATACAGTATGTCCGGATGTTCCTTAAAAATGCCGGCTTGTATTCAAACATCATTTTTATACAAAAAGTGTAAATTACGACAGACTTAACTAAGTCCTTTATCTTTCAGCCCTTGGTGGTAATTATAAGGGCAACAACACTAATTGGTAACTACGATAAGACCATTTACAATTTACATAATTAAACTTCAGTGGGTGAAGACTGAATACTTTCTTAAATATATAGGTACTCTAAGGAAGGATGTTATTATCTCAACCTTATTTGATTATTATCGTTACATAAAAGCCTAAATGCCAAAGACTGTATTTGCACATTCGAATTTAAAATTTAAACCACCTCAATGTCTTCAATTAAACAAAAGCATGATAACGATATTGTGTTATTGACCTATTAACGTATTGTATTGGGTCTATTTAAAAGAAATACCCCTGATAACATTTCAAAAATGTTCACTTACACATAAGATGAGTACGCTGAAAGAAATAGTTTCAATAATTTTCGATTTTCTATACGAAATTATAATGTCACGGTTCTAAAGTACACTCTGTAGTTCCTCAAATAGACTCGTCTAGGTAAATTGATCTAGTAACGTTCAATGACGTTGATAAAATTGTTAAAAGCAGTCAGTTTGTGAAAGATCTTTAACGGATCAAACCTAGAGTAGGCTTAAATATTAGTAATTTTAATAACTTCAGTTATTCAAACTTTTTGAATAAGTAGTCGTTTCGTAATTTTAAATATCACAGCGTGGACAATGATTTATTTTCTAATCTTTCTACTATACACTTATACAAAACTTTGTGAGTAAGGATCGTTAGTTTATGAAAAAATGCGACAATTTCCATTGTTTAGACAATTTTGTGGGGCGTAGTAAAAAAAGGGATAAAAAATTTAACGCTAAGTAATTCTACACTTTTTTATTTTGTGTATGATGTGAATGCTTTCATTGATATTATCATTCGTAAAGCTGTCTCCCTAGTATATTCGTAGGTGTGACTATAATGTTTTAATTTTCAAACCCAATACAAAATAATATAATGTGGTCAAAAAATATACCAAACGTCATCAGTATTTTTATACGTGGACGTGAATAAGTGGAAAGTGAATAAGACGTATTATTGTTATGTTTATGATATTAAGATTTAAGAGAAATAGAGAAACAAAATCAATAAGTGCGGATATTAACAACGTTTGATTTTTAGGCAATTGTCTCGATATTTTCGGATCGAACTGTGTCACTCCACCGTTGCTGTGTCCAAATGAAAATATAACATTTTGGTTATACACGAGGTAAGTCAATTTTAATTTTAACTGAAGTCTTTAAATTTCCAATCGCATTCGATATTTCAATTTTAGAATCGCATTCGATTTTTAAAAATTTTGAATCACATTCGAATTTTTTAAATTTCGAATCACTTGCATTTATTTAAAAAGGAAATCATTAACGAGTGACGCTTTCAGAGAAAATGTGACTGAACCAACAGAGATAAAATCAAAAGATTTGAAAACTATTCGTTCAGCTCCTTGGGTCAAGGATGCGCCAATAAAAATTTTGATACACGGTTATACGGGACACCGAGATTTTTCACCGAATACGGAAATCAGACCAGGTATGTAATAAGCCTTGCCCTCAACCCACTTTTAAGATCGTAATTTATCTGTAAGATAGCGAGTTGGCCTTAACCTTCCGAGATTAACAAACAATAAACTATTAGTGCACCATAAACAGTTTCACCAAGGAAAAAATGAACTACTTAATTAAACGCAGTTTAATATTCCGAGGTAATATTAGTATTATCTTAGTTAAATCATAATTTGAGTAATTACGTAATAAATAGTTTTGCCATGATCACTGACTGACTGACAACGCAAAACCTTAACAGATACCCAATATAAAGTTTCAAAATACTGCTAAGTAAGGCCGAAAGTGTGTCTATTGAATATTGAGTACTTTAAAATTTGCATAGAATTTATGTTTCTTCAACTTTATTTTCTACAAAGTGCCTTTTACATTCGATTTTTAGAATATAAATTTATAACGTATCACAACATACTTCAAGGAAATACTCTCTTTGACAATTATTGTGACTTTGAGTGACCTTTTCATAATAAAATTAAAAAGGCTTTAAATGAACGAATCTATTTTGAAAATGTTCGACACGAGCAAGATTTAAACTGGCATCCACAGCATTCCGTGCTGTCGCTCTACACAATTGAGCTACTGTGTTCTACACGTTATCGTCTATTTTTTTCAACTTTGATTGATACATGCATCTCTCGCGCAACTGCCCGTGTCGTAATTTTTTTCAATCGATTTTTAAAATGTGAAAATAAAAAAATAGATTTATCAAATGTTTATATACTTTTTTATCGTTTCATTGTTTTGCTTTCTTTATTTTTCGGTTAAATTTAAGTTGTTTCAATATTTCGTAGCTTATTTTGAACGCTTGGACTACAATATTATATCTGTGGACTACAACAAAATAGCCTTAGAGCCATGTTATATGCAAGCAGCAGGGAATACAGAACTCGTGGGTATGTGCACAGCTCAACTCATAGATGAAATGGTGGGCGAAGGTTTTCAACTAAAAGACTTCCACGTCATAGGATTTAGTCTTGGTGCGCAGGTAGCTGGATATATTGGCAATTATATTCAATCAGGAAAACTAGAAAGGATTACAGGTTTGGCTTTGCTAATGTTTTTAATATAACGGTTTATTTCGATTTAATTTTACTAGTTACCGAAAAAAGTAAAGACTTTTTTTTGTTTGATTATAAATTTTACTAGTATTGTACTTGTAAAAATTCAAATTATTGTTGGTACTGGTAAAAAAATTGGAAAAACACAGCCTACCACCGAACCGAATGTAGGAACACAAACAAGCGTCAGGTTTATTTGATAGGAGGTAAATAACCCGGCCATATAACGCATAAACAAAATGCGGCAAGAAACTATTTCAGCTTTGAATTTTCGGAAATGTAAAGCGTTTTCATCTGCTGACGGTTGTTCAAGACCCAGCCAGAATTTCCATATGTCTTCTATTCTTTATATATATATATATTAGCGGAGTCTTACAAATTTTACATAAAATATAAATTATTTTTTAGAAACATGTTTGATACGGTGAGAATCCAATATTTCAACAACGCAACAAATTTTAACCGCTTTAAACGCGAAATTTATATTCGTGTAAACTATAGACAGGCAGATATTAAATTTTAAATAAAACACTTTAATGGTTCAACGTTTCCGATCCGGACATTCGGATCAGATCGGATTCGGAGCCGTGGTCACGTGGAGACGGCTGCTGCAAAGCATCTGAAACGTCGGACCGAAGGTAAAGATCATTTTCAAATAAGTTTAACTAATATAATCGCGTTTTAAACCGTTAAAGTGTTTTATTTAAATGTACTACCCGCGTAAACTATAAACAGTAGTTATTAAAGTGTTAACGTTTTTGTACTTTTAGCTTTAGATCCAGCTCTCCCGCTATTTGTGACTGTAGACAAAAATAAAAAAATCGACGCAACCGATGCTAAATTTGTCGACATGCTACATACTAATTCTTTACAAAAGGGGAAATTGGAAGTGGGTGGAACAGTTGACTTTTTCGCAAATGACGGAATCGAACAACCTGGTTGTAAAAGAACAGAAAATTATAGTAAGTTGAACTGTTTAGCAGTAAGCAATTTCACATCTAGTCGCAATTGATATCAACTTAGTCTAGGCTTACTTAATTCACGAATAAGGATATCAATAATTGCAAAACGATTAAATTAAACTGTTTAAAAATAACTTTACTTTATTTTTGATTGATAAAAACAGACAAGCATAAGGTTTACGTGAAAGTCTGCGAAATACCCCAGTCGTAAAACATCTAAACAAGATGTGCCTTTGACTTATTTTGGCTTTGGATATTCCGACTGACTGAAATGCCTTCACCGGTTTTTATCTGTGGATGATGGCTCGTTATCCATATGGAATTTAGTAATTCCCACCGCCTATATAATACTCAGATTTCCAGTCAAAGTACAAAGTCGATGTTTCAGAACAAATTTAAATTGATTAGAAGAATGTTGCACCCGATGGGGATCAACCCATGACCCGTTGGTTACTAACCCTACATTGCTACCATGACACCTTATTGCACTTTATTCCTTATTACTTCCATATTCATAGTTACATATAGTTTATTTACTTTAAAACTTTCAATGACGGAACTAAGGATTGTCATTCTTATGAACAACATAACTAATTATATATGTATATTAGTTAACATTGCGTATTAGTGTACTCTAGTTAACCTGGAGCTAACAATGTTTAAAACGAACTTACGCGTCACCGAAGAATTTTAACTTTTTGATTGTTATTGCTGCGATGTTGTCAAAAATGAGGCCTTTTGGAAAATTACTCAATTATGTTTGAACGACGGATTGCCTTACAGCGAGATCAGGGTGCAACCACGCCAGAGCTCCAATGTACTATGCGGAGTCTATAACGTCCAAAACCGGCTTCTACGCCACAAGATGTTATTCGTGGTTCACTCATATGTTGGGACTTTGTGGAATAATTGGTAGTGGGGAGGAAATACTTTTTGGAGAATATGTTCACAGAAAGTAAGTAATCTTATATTGTGTACAGTCGTTTCTGCAGAAGTATTCCATTAAAATTATGTGAAATTACGTTTCCCCTTCGTCTATATGCTATCACTTTTGCGACGGTTTTACTGATTAATGTTTTTTACATATTGCTCGATATGATGTTCACGTGGACAAGTTAACATTTTCAAGTAGGAGCATATTAATCACATAGCTAATACAAAATATGCATAAATAAACCCACGACTCTTCTACTTAAAATATTTATTGCATTATATTTATTTTGAGAGCCTCCTATCACCTCTTCTTTAAACGTTGTAGCCGTTACCCACGACGTTGTGTCCCATCGTTCTTACTAATTTATCTTAAAAGGACTTATTATATTGTTGCGGCAATTTTTATTATTGAATTAGGATTCATTCTATCATACATATTTCTTGGTTTCTTGACCCGTTTTTTTATATATGCCATTGTTTTTTCTCCTAAGCCTTCCTCGATAAATGGTTTATCCAACACTAAAATCAAACCAGTAGTTCCAGAGGTTAGCACGTCCAATCAAACTCTTCAGATTTATAATAATAGTATAGATAATAAAAAGTTATCTATTTATCCTACTCGCGTCTCAGTACATACTACAATTATTGAATAGCACCCAATATCTTTGAAGTTACGTATACGATGTCATAAAGGTATAAATAGAGAAAACATAATTTGCATAAAGAATCTAAATTACCTGTTTTTAATATTAAGTGGGTTTTATGCTTATTCCTTTCACGTTATCTAAGGGCAAGCTAACATTTCACTTCCTCATTCATGAGCTGTTTGATTCTAATCATCTTAAAAATGATATTAAGTACACGTAATATTTGAAACGTTTGAAATTTATATCTTATATATACTCACTTATATCACTTAGCTTCTTTAATAAATAAAGATATAATAATTTTAAATTACGCATAAGTATATACGTTATTAACATTTGTTTTGTTAGATAAAACATATTCTAACTTCAACTATGGTCTGATGCGGTTGTCATAGGGTTTTATTTGCATTATCTGACGTCATAATAGTCACGTAACATAATAGCGATTTTACACTAACAAAACTTTATTATAATGATTTCTTATATACGGCATTTTCCGCGTTAACCAAAACAAGTGCTTCATTCGAACTTTCACTTCATTTACGTTTTCTATAAACGCATTTCCTTATTATCTTGGCGACAAATCGAGTTGCATTGTATTCAGACTTACTTCTGTGAATCTTTGTCTTCTTTCTTTTTTTTATAATGAAGGTTATATACTTATTTAAGCAACTGAATAATTCAGTCTTGAAATCGTGAGACAACGAACAAAAACATACCTACGTCAGTGTTACAAATAGGAGCCTTTTTTGGACCTTGAAACGATCAGTGATCACCTGATAATCTGTTTGTTAACGTATCTGCTCAGCAATATATTACATAATGAAACGACTATCATTAATAACACATTATCAACTATAACATTACTGTTTAAATAATGCAAGACATCGAGATAATTTCCTCCATGTTAATGATAAAACGTTGAAAACAACTTGCGTCAAGGGTAGGGGAAAGTTTTGGGCTCCATTCCTAGTCTTACTAAATATGAGGCTAAGGGCAAATGTTATGACTTGGGTTATTTATATTGGCATAGTCTAAAATTGTTAATCTACAATAGTACACTGGCCGAAAATTGCAAACAGAATTTTTACACAATAGTACAAAATGAATTCGTGTTCGCCTGAGTTAATTGCGCATTTTTATTTTTGCATTTTCCTCCTTATTGAAAAATCTTGTTTTTTGTGATTAGGCTACTCAGCTTCCATCTATGTAGTTGGTGTCGGGTAGGAGAATAATTCTGATATGGTAGTCAGTTTGATGTGACAAAAAGTAGCTCTATTAGGTAGCTAAACAGACATATAAATGTCTGCTTCATGTCACATTTCATTAAATACTGATTTTTTTTTCTTTCAGTGCATCTGGTGTATATTTCTTCCCCACCAACTCTGACTCTCCATACGCTCGTGGTCCTTCTAACTCCACATACCTTGAAGATGAAGACTTTAATAAAAATAGCTCTTTCTTATCCACTCTATCTTCGTTTCTGTTTGGGTAATAGATGTGAATGCATTTTAACGAATTAGTATTACGATGTGTGTTCCTAATGTTAGATTAATGCAAACAGTTTTGAAGAACAAATTTGTAAAAGGTAAGTGTTTTAGACAGAAAACAGAACACTTTAAAATAAGACAATAAAATGAACTAGAACTGTCTAGAAAATTAGAAAATTGACTAGATGTCTTACAAAAGTATGAAATGGAATTTTAGTTTGTGAATTTAGCTGAACTAATAACACAATCCTACCAAAAGCAAGGAAAGCGATACTTCCAAAGTTGTAAGAATTCATAAAATTTAATTATAAACAATAAGCATAAAGATCTTATAAGTAAATTAAATTATTTTAATATAGTGTGTTTTTATTTTATTTTAATGGTGTTATTTACTTTCGTCTATATTATTGTTTAATATGAACAATTATTATGAAGCGAATTAATTTGACACCGTTTATTCAAATTTCTAAAGTTAATTATATGAGACGAAATACTCTACTTTCTTTTTATGAATTTTAGTTTGGTTTATTTTTTGGTAAAGCAAATGTAACGGTTTTTGGATTTTTCTATTAACTTCCATTTAATTAAACTTCTATTTTATATAAACTATTGTTCTTTGCTTTAGTTGTAGATAAATAACCAATATATCATAAGTTGAATTAATTATGACAAAGGACGACCAGCTGAAATAATTGGGCTTACTTAATGGAACGTGAAATTGTTATAGTCCTATGGCATATATAACCAACAATTAAACTCTGGATCTCATGTCTATCATAAAATTATCACACACAACTAATTATTATACTTCGATATCAAATTTTTTATTAATGCTAATACACTGCTTAACTAATATATGTTTTATTTATACATACATTACAAAGATCCTAATTTTTTTGTCGTTTTGTTGGAGCCACTTTGATCTAACAAGGTTTTTGCACACCTCAACCGTAGTAAGCATACCCGTCAATTCATACATTTAAATAACAAGCAATTTATTTTTTTTCTCGAAAAATTAAGATCCTTGACGATACTTTTGAAAGTTGTTTTACGTATGTAAACCTTGTGAATTTTGTATGTAGGGTTTTACTGTACATTTAGTATGCATCGCTATTTTGAAAGAGAGGCTCGGGTAAGATTTTGCGCAAGAACTGCGGTCTAGTTTTAGCTCACTCTATAATTATTAGACGGGTAATTACTAAGTACGCATAAACTTTACACAATTCACAACCCAGTTCTGAAATTTTTGGAATAATATACCAGATGTTCTTTAAAAAAAGAAATAAAACGCCGTTATTTGATTATGTGGATTATTATGTAATAACTGGGTTGGTACACTTTTGGTACATATTCATATATCAGGGACTCCATGTTGAGTAAAGACCTGCTCGTGACCTGCAAAGTGGGTGCACCATCCAATATCTCTATTTCCAGTAAAAAAAATGGGCAATAGCCGATAGGAATTATATTGTTCCTTGATCTTGATTACAATTCTTCATAATAGTCATTTTCTTAAAACTTTGTTTAAAGAAAGAATATATTTTTGTTATTTGACAGCGACTACGAAGCTGAGTTTATCAGATTATATGATCACTAAGACGTAATATGTATAATAAAATATGTCATAACCATCATCAGCCCTTACCACCACTCCAGCCAACCGTTGGCACTTGGACCTCTCTTGAAGGTATACGCTTTAGCAAGAAATAAAATTATGTCGAATTTTTGGTTCGTCGATTGGTTCTCTCCAGATGTATTCTTAAAGAAAGCACGTACAAGAATAGACAAGTCTCACACACTTACTATATAGATAACACATATTTATATGCGGCATATATGAGAAATTTCTTATATACATACAAAGGTACATCTTGGTAGTGACTCATAATTATTCGTCACTTAGAGTGGAAAGTACATACTCGTACATGGGGACGTTGACGCCTATCGTATTTCGTAACGTGAGTTGAGGATGTAACCAGTCGTACTATTATTGGGACATTTTGTAAATTTAACAGGAAATATGTGCATCCGTTTCTAACTAATATTTTCCAAACCTTTAATGGTACAGTCCTTTGAGAAGAGAATCATTACGAAAAAAGTAAGATCTTTGTTAAGAATTGTATAATATTGCCACACATTGTCCATAGTTTACGAGAGTACTACACATTCAAATTAAAAAAATAACGGTTTTATACGCGAAATATACATTAATTAAACTCATTTATAAATTGTTTTAACTAAAGCCCGACGTTTCGGATGCATTGCAGCAACAGTGGCCACGGGGAGAGCCCTTAGACATCGTCACTTTAGAAAATATATAAAATAAAAATATTTAAAATATGTATGTATTTTGTACTTATTGTCATGACTTTTCGAATCTTTTGAGATAACTTCAGAAGACCTAAGTAATACTCTCAGTCATAAGCTAAAAAATCCCAGATTTGTTAAAAAATCTCCTGTTATTTCGTTTGTAGTTCTTAACGTGCCTCTGGTAGAAAAAAGGTCATTTCAGGAGACACCCCATAGTGTTTAAACACATTTTGGTTTAGCTGACTTTAACGATTTCTGCTTCTACGCTGATACTGTTAGAATTGGCCCACCAAGCTGTTGCAATGTGAATAGGCGTAACGACCACACGATACCTGGGGTACACGCCTCACTCTCTGAGGCTCGGGGAATGACTAAATAACATCAATCATTATGTACTGTAATAGTCTGTAGTATCATAGTTTTAGTGGTTTAAAACGCGAAATATATTAGTTAAACACTTTAACAATTTATTTTATATACGGCACGACGTTTTTAATGATTGATGTTTTATTAAAAAAAATAACAAATTTAATTTAACTTACGTCTTTCTTTAAGATCTTATTATAAATTAATTTTGCCTTATTTAAGTAATATAAACGAGTATAGCTTACTATTTCATTATTGATTAATAACTTCAAAGAAACAAGTAATAGGGACGTGGTATCTAGATCGTTTTTGTAAGATCACTGGGTTACACATAAGGTGAACTTGTTAATTACGGAACTAGACTGGTCAGCCATCATATGACGCACTAAGTTACCTAAGAAGAATTAATAAATAATTTCATAACTGTAGCACTATCGTGGGTTCGAGTTCCGCCTGTTTTTTGCGATGAAAAAATAATTTTATTTTAAGAGTTTGACTTGTTTAAGTCAAAGTAAATCTCATATAACGCATTGATTTTAAATCAATTGGTAGAGTTTTAAACTCTACCAATAAAATAACGATATTGCATATGAAAAATAATAATAATTTTCACATGATGGCACTAAAGAAAGTGTATTTTATTTTATGTTATTTGAATAGATGATCATTTGGAATAATTGGTTTTTAAAGAATGATAAATAATATGAAAGCTTTAAAAAATCTAATCAGTGTACTTACAATATTGTATATGAATGTAAAACGTGTGAGAATATAGAATAAAAGAACCTCTAACGTTTGAACCCAAAAAACCTGCTAGGTCCTGTATCAAATTATTATTACACAAAACAAATGAATATTCCAGGTTTTATTCGTCGATGTAATGGTAGCAAGGTATGACAAATAAATAAATGGCTCGTGGGTTTGATCCCCAATACTTTACCTAAGCGCATGTGTCTTATTATCGAAATTTCGTCCGGGTAACGAAGCTCCGTCCACAGAGTAAAAAGCTATGAAGCTTATTTGCGTTTATTAGACTCCTCATATTTTAAGCCGAAATAGGTATACCTAGCCGAGTAGGAATGCCAGCGCATCCATTAAATAAACCCCGTGCTTGTCTGTCGTCAATCATATACTTTGCTAATTTGTACTTTAAATTAAAATTCTCATATTCATCGTATTTAATCTCTCGTTTGAATTTATCAAGGTCTCGTGTCGTAACTCACAATTATGGTGTGTGTCAAAACGATTGAAATAACATGCAATTCGACGGAATGTCTTTGTATTCCCAAGAGGGGACATGGCCGAGGGTCAACATGTTACCACTTTCCCCGTCAGTCTCCTCGCAGAAAAGGTACGTTACACACGTTTGGGCCCGTGGAATTGTTTCACTCGCTCATCTATTTCGTAAGAGATAACTCGACGTTTCAAGTGCGGATCTGTTTCGGATTGTTTATTTGATGTTTTCGAAACATGGTGACTAACACTCAGTGGCTTTTAGTGATTGGAATTACTGCGTTACACATTTCTGGTGAGTAGAAAAAACGAATATTATTCAGTATAATTTTACGTTATAAAACGCATATTATATATTTTTATTTGTCTAATTTTCTTCTATTAAAAAAAAAAAACAATTAATTAATTAGATCTGTTTAAATTAACCGATTTCCTCATACAAAGTCAAGTCAATTTAACATTATTTTATGTCGCAAGGTTAGTAATTATTTAATGAATTTACTGTCGAATTAACTAATACAACTTTGTGCTAATTCAATCGACGCATTATAATCGATCGTCATGGTTCAAATCAGCTGATGCGTTGCATGTGCGCTTGCGCATGAAACAGAGAACGCCAAATATAGAGCCAAAATCAAAGGCGTTTTTTATAATTACATACAGTTTTCTATTGAGAGGAACTTTTAAATAGACATTATTATATTTATTTTGAAAGTGTAACGAAAATACTACTTTATTAAGTACCTACATGTAGTTATTTATTTAAATAAAAAATACGTAATTTGTATGCCATAAAATATTGACCCTGAAATGAATTGTAAAATCGTTGAACACAAAGATTAAAATAACTACAGATAGATCGTTCACTTAACCTTTGTTTATAATTTTTGTAATTCTCTGAAGGACATTGCTCTGTGTTCGCGCTACTTCCGAACACGGTTACGTTATCGCCGACCAACATTCGTGTTGTGTAACCGCTCTCACGACCATCGAGACATATCCTTGTACTTTCGTTTTTAGCGCATTGTTATTTTTATTGATATAGGGATTGGTATCATCGTGGCCTATATAATAATAATTGAGGCTTCGCTATCAGTGGCAACAATATATTAATTATAATCAACGAACCACCGTCCACAGATGAAAATGACGTGAGGTTTAAACGAGATTTGGTTTCAGTCCGGGTGGGAAATACCTAAAACCAAAAAAATCAAGATATTAGGTAAATTATTAGTAACACTAATACAAACAAAATTAATCCTATACTCGTACTGTAGACATACCATAAATGAGAGGCTTAAGTGTCAACTTATACAAAACAACAACAAAAAATTCGAATTACCGACATTTAGACCTGTAATTAGATATATGGCAACATATATGGAGATATAAAGATTAAAAATATGTTCGAAAAGTTATATGAAAAAGCCAACCTAATTAGCTAATGGCTTTTATAAGTTGTCAAGTCATGATATCAAAAAAACGACGCAAAAACCCAGGCAAAGATCATATTGCACTTTTTATGTATAGCATACATACTTATTTGGTTCTATGCCTTGAAAAAATCCGGACATATCAATTCTACATCACAGCACTTAAAATCACTTGCTTATATTTAGCCACAAGTAGACGGATCGTTTTTTTTACTGTTATTACTCGTAATATAAGTACTTAACGATTTTCCGATATATAGTCTGATAATCTTTGAGTAATGGAAAACTGCTTAAAGAAGTCTTATATTTCACACGAAAAATCTTCGCGATAAATATTTCAAATTTAATAATCATTTTTATACTTTTGATTTAGAATACTGGTCTCTGTGATCAATAACAGACATCCCAATCGGCTTGACAAAACGACACAATAACAAAAACACTCTTATATTTATTATATAAATATACTTGCTGTGCCAGCGGCTTCGCCGGTGTAGAATAGTTATTTAGGACGACAAAATGCGGTTTACGTATCTCCTTGTCATCTTAACAAATTATAGCTGTTACGAAAACCCTTAAAGATGGTATGATTATTATATTCCACGGTTATAAATGATAGCCTATAGTCTTCCTCGATAAAAATTCTAACCAACAAAAAATATTTTTTTATTTGGACCAGTTCCTGACATTAGGGCGTTCATCCAAACAAACTCCTTAGTTTCATATAATTGTTTAGATTGACTTTTCACCAAAGTACATATACATATTTTAATTATCGTATTTACGTTATTGCAAAACGAAAAAATCACAGTTTCCTAATTTCATCGCAAAATAATAAACGTAAATAAAAAGAATGTCAAGGTTTTCTAACATCATGAATACATAATTTATTCAAGTATGTACAAGTACAGATTTTTTATGATATAGATATTTACATAGAATAATGTTTATTAGCGTAATTATTAATGTATACGAGTTTGACCTCTTGCATTTTTCACTGCATTATCAATAATTTGCAAGAATCTATCCGGCCAGTTTCACCAAATACCATCTTCGAAGGAACAGATGGCGCTAGCGTAGCATATTGTACTTTGACATCAGAAGCACCCTCCATCTTGACGCTCCCCGTAGTCACGGCTACTACAGAGCATCCGAAAGGTCAGGCCGTCGTTAAAATATTGCTCAAATAAGCTTACCTAATATATATCGTGTTTTAAACTGCTAGAGTGTTTTATTTAAAAGAATCTATGCATCAAATAAATACAGCCACTTAAACAAATCATTTCTTTAATTACTACTGCAGTGTGGTTAATTGATTTGATATAATAAAACTTTGATTTTAAAGTGACTTTAAAAGTTCAAATCTAAATTTTAACTGACTTGGATATATCAATTTTACCGCATTATTAAAGTCTTTTTGGGATTAACTTTATTAACACATTGATTGATTAGCCATGATGTAAAAAATATATGGTCATCCTACCTTGACACTAAAGATGTGATTAATATTCAACGCTGAAGAAATGTGACAAATCAATTGCGAAGTTCGAATACTTAATTATCCACCATCGACATCAAACAACAAAAAAATATATTTTTTCTTTAAGTGCTGGAAAAAATACGGGATATTTTATGTTTTCCATAAGTACTTTAAGTATATTTCTAATTATAAAATCGAAAACAAAAATCGTACGAACAAATCTTAGACATTTAAATAAAACACTCTAGCAGTTTAAAACACGATATATATTAGTTAATTTATTCTACTAGCAGCAGATGTAGTACCTCCGTGATCGTGACTCCTGGAAAGCATCCAAAACGAGGAGCCGAGTTTTAAACCGTTTAAAGTGTTTTGTTTAAATGAGATATATCATGAAGTAGATAGATACATACTTACATAGGTAGGAAGGTTGTAAGAGATGTTAAGGGAAGGTCAAAAGTCCAAAGTGCGGCCTTTCCACAAACTATACATCTAATGTTACTTAAAATATTATTTATAAAATATCTCATCTTAAAAGTGAAACCTTTATTCTATTACACAGTGAAAGTAGCATTGTAATGAAAATGTTATAACGAACCATTTCTCATAGGGCTCTATGGATAATAAAAGTCATTTTCAGTAGAGTTCTTTTATGACTGGACGTTATTATTCAAGAAAAGTATATAAATTACTTTTTTTGATATACCAAGCTATCATTATATTTTTCATAGTGACAGTGCATTGAAGTATGAAGATTTTTTTTATACTCACAAGGTACCTTGTACATATTTGCCTCTTTAAGGGCGAAAAACTATATAGACCGGATCTGTTGCACGTTTCATCTATACTAATATATAAAGCTGAAGAGTTTGTTTGTTTGAATGCGCTTATCTCAGGAACTACTGGTTCGAATTGAATTTTTTTTTATGTTGGATAGATCATTTGTCAAGGAAGGCTTTAGCATAAATAACATCACGCTGCGACCGCTCGGAGCAAAGAAACAGTGAAAATTATGCATCTTTGAGTACATTGTAAAAACGGTTTAAGAAACCACAAAATAGGTATAAAAGAAAAAATACTACTCTTTGAATGATCCAAAAAAAATCCGCGACACTTTTAAGATTAACTAAGAATCGATTACATGTATTCAAATTTTCGTCAAAATTAATGCATTATTACCATTTATTCATCTGTGTTGTATCAACATAATAACATCTAACAAACAAGAGAACAACATTTGAGGGATCAGATAGTCGTTAATAATTATTAATTATACAAAAATATACACCTCAGCTTGTATATACTTATTTTTATTCAATGTTAACATTGCACTAGTCACTTTAGGCCTTGTACACTTGTTATATCATGTTATTATGTTGCAATAAAACAACTGAACGGTGGATTTTTTAAATACGAAATATTACCTTAATGTACAAGCGACAGGGGTACCGGGTTTCATCCCCAGGACCATATTATTATTGAATATAAGAACCTATAGTGTCTTAAAAACCGCCTCTATTTGGTTAAAGGTGTTACCTAGCTTTGTGTTAAGCGCGAGAGGTTCTAATTCCGGAACAATAGATTGTTTTCGTCGGGCAGGACAGTCTTATCATAACCATGGGTTGAAACAGGATTACACAAGAAAATTTTAAACAAAACTACTATTGAGATAATTTAAAAATCGAAAATAAATTTAAAAAGCACGCACGCAGAGCAACATCACGGAACACTGACGATGCTGGTTCAAGTTCTGCCCGAGTTTTAAATTATATAGTGCCTTCATGTGCATGACATGTGAAAAATAATAAAGTTTTCAAATACTATTAAGATAAGCAATTCTTTTCTCAGTAGTAGTTTCGTTTAAGATTTGAAAAGCTGTTATTTCATAAACTTATTTCTAGTTACTTACAAATATTTATTTTTTAACACATGTTATAAAACCTTTTACAGTTTCGAAAACTCAACGAGAAAACTCGGTGAGAGATGACAGGGAAAAGCCTCAAACCGCCAAAGACGTGTTCAACACAAGCTCTTGCATACCACCGCCGTATAGATGCCCTCATCCTAGGATGCAGTTTTACTTATACACTAGGTAATATAGGCTTCTATAAATGTCAAAATGCATATTAGTTGGCTTATATCCCTTCCTAAAGAAAGACTTTTCAGTTTATATAATACTGGATGGAGCAATACTAGAATACGTTTTATTTTCTCGAGTATCGTAATAAATAATTTTAACAGCTCTGAAATATTTTCTACATGTTATTGCACATGATGGCATTATATAAATTAAAAATATGATTAAACATTAACACACGTCGAAAAAAATCCACAATGACGTGGAGGACACGGTAGCTCAATTGGTGAAATCAACACGTACCGCTGTGAATGCCAATTTAAGTCCTACCCGAGTCGCAATTTTTTTTTTCAATATAAAATTCGATTTTTAATTTTACTTCTCTTTTAGGACCACGCAGGAGAAAGGTGAACTACTCAATACCTTAGATAACGACTCGCTAAAGTATTCCAAATTCAATCCCAAATATCCTACCAAAATAGTGGTGCACGGTTTTGGTGGTGGCCGAAATCTTTCGCCAAGTACAGATATGAGAAACGCTTATTTCAAAAGAGGGAACTATAATATTATTATCGTGGATTACGGAACTCTAGTCAAAGAACCTTGTATTGGTCAGGTTAGTACATTCTTTAAGTGGGTAACTTACGAAACTTATTTACGGTTTATTACAATTATCGTTTTGAAGGTTATAGGGTGCTAATTTATAAATTTTGTTCAGAGACAAATATTTAATATGAAAATTATGGGGAAATCTTAGAAAAAAAGACCGAGGATTGTGTTATTCTTTTGTATACTCTCCCTATAGTTATTTAACTTTAATAATCAGTATGGTCGCTTTTATGAATGTTTAATTGTTCATTTTGCGCTCTACTTAATTATTGTCATGGTCAGATGTTGTGAATTACTTTAAAGCTATCATTATCTTTAACTATAGGCGTAGTTTCTTAAAGTCTGTAGTAATTTATAGTCCATAAAAGTAGTATAATGGTATTGATGGTTAAAACGCATTGCCTAAAGTTTCTACTGTAAAATCCTGAGGAAACAAAATGATGAATGATAATTATTATTATATTATTAAAATTGAATCGACCTTTAAACTGAAATTTTTTAAACTGATTTGGCAGTCTTTAATTTTTTTTACCATAGAAATTATTTCTTGGAAAAATCTGATTTATTTACCTTTCTTTATATCTTGTTCTCTTACATGTTCTTTCATCTCTTACAATTATATTAAAAGTAGATAATATATTTAATGTAAACAATTTTATGACTCTCAAAATGTTTCTAGATAGAATGGGCTCCTCGTTTCGCAAGCCTCTGTATAGCGCAGTTAGTGGAATATGTTCAGTACCACCCCACAAAAGGTGTACGTCCAGAAAAAATACACACCATAGGTTACAGCGTTGGAGCTCACATTCTTGGTCTTGTTGCTAATCACATAACTGATGGGAAACTTGGAAGAATAACTGGTGAGTTTTGAAAAACATTATTAAATACATAATGTTTAAATATATATGCTAGAACAGAGATAGCGTCACTAGATAAAAGAACAAAATGTTATTGAGTTTCGAAAATTTCGCACGACATTTTGAGTTTAACTACAGAATTAAGTAGATATGTATAAGTATTATCGTATATATGTACTAGATACTAGCTGTGCCAATGACTTCATCCGCGTAGAATTTTATATTGGGCATCAATATTTGTTTTTGCAAACCTCCTTATCTTTATAAGTTATAGCTGTTACCGACGACGTCATTTGCGTCCATTCGTTAAATCAATTTCATACATATTTTTTGGGAATCTTGAACCGTTTTCACAGCGCACGTAACGGAAACCCACTAAGATAAATAATCTTCCCCGTTTAAATTAATTACTTTTAATAAGCACTTAATTTTGTATTTCAGGTCTAGATCCAACAATATTTTTCTACATGGGCAACAACCGTTCCAGAGATTTGGATTACACAGATGCCTTATTTGTTGATATCCTGCATACTGGTGCTGGTATTCTTGGTCAATGGGGACCGAATGGACATGCTGACTTTTACGTTAATGGGGGGTCCAGTCAACCTGGATGCGCGCATGATACTATATTCCGTATGTACTTTTCATGTGTTTGCTTATAGCGCCATCTCTTTTAAACCGGATGAAGCTTTTTCACAAAATGCACACTTAAAGGTGTGCTAAAGCACTTAAACGATTTTATTTTTCTAAACTTAAAAGATAGATGTCTACTTACATAAATGTTACAGCTATTATTTAGACAATATGACAATATTAAAATTTGCAAATAAAAGATTACGACAGATATGTGAAATTATATACGTCTTGTGTACCAATGTTAATAAAAGAAGCCGGGCCAAATTTTTTAAACAATATTTCTATAATGAGTAGTCATATTCTTAAATTTATTTATTTTTATCAGCCACGTAAACGACACATATTATTACATACATAAATATTCATTAATTTAAAACTCTTTCAGAAACCTTATCATGTGATCATACCAAAGTGACACCGTACTTTATAGAATCGATAAACAGTCGAGCTGGGTTTTGGGCCGGACCATGTCCAAGCCTATTTTCATATTTGATTGGATGGTGTGAGCCAAAAGACACGGAGTATGTGCTGATGGGAGAACACGTCACTCATAAGTACGTATTTATTTAGTAAAAGCCGATAGATGGCGCGGAGACGAAATCTAAGAATCCTTGTGTAATTTTCAATATTCTATACGAAATTCAATCGTAAACTTACAGTCTTGAAAAGATAGAAAACGGAGTATCAGATATATTACTTTCTTGAATCTAGTATCTTTTTGATAATATCTTTGAAACTGTTATTAAGATTATTTTAAGAAAATTGTATCTGATGACAGACAAAAGCATTGTTTACTTGTTGGTAGGTTAAATATATAATACGTTAAATACATTTAAACATACCTGCCTCCCATTTATTTTTCAATTTCACGTTGCTTAAAACTGAGATTTACGTTTTTATTTATTACCCGCGGCGGATACAGTTTTTTTATATTTACAGTAGCTTTTTTTCAGTAGCATTCGATTTCAATAAAACAAAGTCCATATATTACTACAACATCAAAGTAATCTACTGCCGATATTCACATATTTATTAAAATATAAATATTAAAGGCCACGATTGTGCGATTTCGAATCAATATTTTAAATATAATATTTCTTAACGTATAATACCTCTTAATTTCATACTGCATTTAAATCTTTTTAGTGCTCGAGGCGTTTATTACGTTACGACAAATGCAAAGCCGCCCTACGCCAGAGGTTTTCCAGGGAAAAGCAGAAGGCTTCGATCCATAACATCATATAGCTAATATTATAACTGTGATAGTGATATAACATTTTTACGTAGATATAAGTTGCTTTAAACTTGCCTTAATAAAAACTTGGAGTTACCAATTATACCTACCTCAAATTAATTGGGTTATTTTCCTATACATGGGCTAATTATGTATATTCGTATATGATACATATAAACTATTGAATTATATAGTGGGTAACTGTAAATCTAGATGTTATTGTACCAATGAGGTGTAAGATGTTTTTAACAACTGCCATGTTTATTAATTTTATTGTAACGTTATCTAAAAATAAAAATATTGTAATTTTAATCCCAATATTTAAACATTTATGTAAATATTGAAATAATATAACTTTCATAGTTAAATTTTAATTTATTTCCAATAAAAGATGATTTGAATTTTCAAACATATATTGAGGAAGATAATGTCACCATTTATTGTAAACAGACTACATAACATCAAAGGAAAACATTAACCAAACATATGAATTCCTTATTTTTGAGATCAATGATTATCACAGAAAATGTATTTATGCTTTACGAAATAAATCTAACCTGCCGCCATTTGTATATAACTTTATAACGATTTTACGCAATTTTTACTACAACACACTTATTAGTACAGAGTTAAATATCGAGTTTAACATAAACCAGAATAATCATATTCTATATTTACAAACGAAAATATTAATAATAACAAAGAAGAAGAATTAAAAGTAATTCTCTTATTAGAAAGAAAAAACAATAACCACTTTAAACTATACATATTAAATAGTCTTAATATATTCTCTCTCTTTGCCCGTACTTTTTAACTGTGTAGTTGTCTGAATCGACAGAATAATGATCGTCTCATATGTAGTTTATAAGAAAATCTATAATTTGTAGTCTTTGTACATAGTTTTTGGAAAAATTTTGTACTTTTTGTATAATTAAATAAATTATTTTGTCTACTGTTTTCCCTATTTATTGATCACGTTTCATACGATCATGGCATAGATAGTACGTACTAAGAATGTGAACCTTAAAAATAAAAAAAATATATAAATAATAATGTCTACATATACGCCATATTGCTATTGCTTAAAAGATTTTATTACATTTATATTTTGTATCATAGTTACTTACAATAACGAATTGATAATTTTAAATGTATACAAATTTATGCAAAATTATTTTCCTATGACTTATAAACACAAAATGGTTTCAATGTATAACGCTACAAGTCCAATTTCTTATGATATACTTTGCTACTTATTGCGATAGTTTAAAATCATAGTTTTACTACGATATGCCTATTAAAAAACTACTCGTTAGAAAACAAATCTTGGTAATTACATGAACAAATTTTTTGATTGATGCTTCGTGCAAACCAATTTTAAATATTCATTATAAGTGTACGGGATTACTAACGTGCATTTAAAATAAAGTATATAAATAAAACACTTTTAACAGCTTAAAACGAGAAATATTCGAGTTAACTTATTTTCAACTACGTGACGAACACATCAAAGGTGCCGCAAAGCTTCAGGGTGGTAGTGAATAATAAGTTAAATAATCTAAACCGTTAAAAGAGATTTACTTAACAAGTTTATAAGATCTGTGGATTTTTTACTTTTAACTAATGTCTGTGTACGTTTGATCTTAACTGAACAATATCGTTCTAAAAGGAATCTGTAATTTTATTGGTTATGTTATTGAATATAGAACAATATAGAACTATTGATAGCGTAACTATGGTACTATGTGACATAGAAACGAAGATTAAATGAAAATCTGCATAAAAGCATACAATTTACAGCATGACTACAAAGCAAATTCTATTCAGTAATTGACAAATCAGTGCTCCAGTGCAAGGATCTACTTGGCTTAGTGAATTATTGTCTCTTGAAAGTCGCAAAATAAATTGTAAAATTCATTCGTTTGAATATATTATATATAGCTTTAATATAATCCAAATCCAAGGCTATAATAGTTCATCAGTTAGCATGTCATAGGTCATTCCACCTTCTATCAAGTCTCCCCCAGATTTATTTGTCCTCCTTTACCATTAAATAAATCATATCTTTCTTCCAAAGGACAATAATTCAGCATACCTTATACATACTAACTACTTCTTACAGTATTTACAATTAAACAGATTAAACTATTAAGTATTTTTAAACTGAAATATCACATCTTGGCTTGAGTAATATGACAGAAAAAATTTCAGACATTATTCAAGATAAGAGGTATAATACAAAAGAAACATATCTACATTTAAATAAAACACTTTAACGGTTTAAAACGCGATATATTAGTTAAACTTATTTGAAAATGATTTTTAACTTCGGTCCGACGTTTCGGATGCTTTGCAGCAGCCGAAAAATCATTTTCGAATAAGTTTAACTAATATATCGCGTTTTAAACCGTTAAAGTGTTTTATTTAAATGTGTACTACTTGCGTAAACTATAGAAGTATTTAACATATCTACAATAACTAAATAAAATAGTTTGCATTAATTTGAACAAAATAATATCACTTTTTAATACATATTAACATACAATATATTTGTAAATCTTACAATGTAATCCCTTAGTCTATTTATTTTACATTCTATGGTGCTTTAAAAAGCATTATTGTCGACACAGCCTTATAGAGTGAGATCACCCCGTAAAATAAAATTATTGTCTTAATCTTAAATATTATATACTTATTAAATTGTTAATAAGTTGTTTTTTTGTGTTTAATAATAGTTTTATATTGATAAAACTATTATTAAACACAAAAAAACATCAAACAAATTTCCCTTTTAAAACAATATTTTACATTTCGTTATTGAAATTCAAATAAAACCGTTAAACGCTCAAAAACAAAACTTTACTAACATTTGAAAATCAATATAGTTAGAAAAACGTAAAATTAAGGAAAACAAATGGCCTACGCTAGCAAATATTATATTACTTATTATATTTAAATATATTATTATTAACCTTACATTACCACAATGTTCGCGTCGAACGGATGCTTCATTGAAGAGATATCCGTACCCTTTTTGCCATATATTTGGACATTGTGAAAATTATCACTAGAAGTTTCATAAACCATATCATTTAATCATGCACTGACCGGCCTCTTAAAACAATGGAATTCTAGAAAAAGTATTTTATAATTTAAAAATTATGACACAACCAAACCCGATCTCACGACAAACATCGGACCGTTGGTTTACGAACTGAGCTATTGTGTCGCCATCTCTGTTTATAGAATTTCTCCATCGTTAATTTCGCTTATAATAATAGTTCAAGTGCTGCTGTCATATTTTTTAAAATTCGAAAACGCCTTATAATTTTATAAACTCTCCGTGTGCATATAAAATCAACGAATATCTTAAAATTTAATTTTCATCTGCTGAGCTTCAACTTAGTATTAAATAATTACAACACATTAGGAGTCAATATTCATTTCGTTGTCTGTCATGATTTTGATGAATTCCGCAGAATCCGATATGTTCCTAGTTGTGTTATAAAATAATTGTAAATTCTTGATAAATTTCACAATAAAATGAAATACTATTATCAAAAAGGAAACATTTTGACTGAGATAGTCTTTCATTTTAAAATGAGCGGCGTCTAATGATATGCTCAAAATATTAATTATAAAATCTCGACGTAATACAGTACCTATCTTACATTATTTAAGGTGATGTTACCTGCTCTCTATGTGTAATACAAATGACTAATTAATACATAAATACAAATAACTACAGATACATACACAAGAAACATTTCTAGTAGTTTTTTACAAACCAGAATTGACGGTGTAGAGATTCATTAAAATAACGTTAATTCTTTACATTATTATCATTAATTCTAAGATTCTAATGATTTGTTCAAATGATAACGTTCTTCGATCGGAAGACTATGATGACGAACGTAAACATATAAAAATATCCACCTTCCGGAAACATGATAATTCTCACCGATGTCCAAAAGTCTTTCTTCCTATATTTTCCCCACAGAACTCTACCTAATCCTACGTCTATGCTTCTTTTTGTAAATGAGACGGTTGTAAACCGTTAAAATTGTTTCACTTAATGGGAACCACGTATTTAATCTACATATACATTTTCGTGACAGTCCAACTTTGCTTAGGCTAACTTTATATTTGGTTAAATTCAACTTTGCTATCAGGAAAACGAAAAACTCTGAACCTTATTTGGCACAACTGTCTTAACCCAAACTGTAATAAGCCCGAACACTATCATTAATTATAGTTATTTAAATAATTCTATATACATGCTACATTTTTATTGTCATCATTGCCTTGCCGTATTATATTATAATTTAGTATATAGGTACGTCATAAAATACCATAGCTAAAAACTTACATAAATTATTTACATGATAGCGGATCAAATAATTTTGAAGATAGATTATTAGTGCTCAGACCACCTTTTTTCTGAAATATTTCTTTTATTAGCACGCAATTTCAACGCTAGTTTTCAGCTGTTATTTTGTGATTATAAAAAATTACCACCTGACTTGAATGATCGGATTTAAGAACGCGTCTTTGTCACTCTATTCCTACTTTTGTTTGGTTCGCCGTACGCCGCTGTGCATAGCTTCATCAGTACATCATCATTACATTGCAGCCCTTGACTGTTTAAAATTTATTGTCGTCGTTAAACCGCGGAAGAGATGTTACAACGCTAATCATTTATTGTCATTAATTAATCACGTATCATTATTGTCATTAATGTAACAATTTACCATAATTTTATAATAAATTAAGTGCATGTGCCAGGTGCAATGTGCAATTTTATCTAAGTGCCAAAAACGTGGTGCAATATTAATTAGGTTAAATAACTACTATCTATTATATTATTACTCAAACGTCTTTAGTCCATCACCGTCACCGACTTACAGGCGATTAAAGTTTTGTAGAATACCGTAGGTATATACAATAGTAGTAACATTTTGTTTTGAGTGTTTGTGACAAATTAAACTTTGGACCTTGCTATAAAAGAAGGAATAACTTCGTTTGAGCGAAAATATATTACACATTTGCATTTGTAATGAAGTAAGTTTTAAATGTCAGTGGTCTTTACGAAATTCTACTCAAAGTAGAAATAATTTCGCTTGTACAAAATTTACAAGCAAAAGTAACATTACAAAGCAAGTACAGGTTTAAAACGTGTTTTTGACGAGTAAGAATGTTTTATATGCGTATAACAATTAAACCAACAATTGCAAATTTTAACATGTTGAAGAAGCGTTATATATACTATTTTTGTTTTCATAACATTCCCTAATTTTAATAGGTTATTATGTGATATTATTCTAAGTAAAAGAAACTCTACAATATCTTATGTGCTTTTTTTTTGTTTTATCATTTTCTTACAAAATAAGCCTTTAATTTTACAGCATCTACCTTAAAGCTAATCTAGCATAATTGTATCTCTTTGTTAAACTGCTGTCATATACTGTATAAATATTTATATCTTTTCCGGAGTTCAAAGCTCCGGCAAAGAGAGAGAATATACCTTCCGATGAAAATTTGAATGTGTCTATAATAAAAACATATAATACATATCTACCTACAATAAATATTTTACAGAAACATACCTTTCTAGACTGATTTAAGAATGAACTTCAAGAAATATATGATTCCATTACTTCCTTTCGTTTAATCAACATTTAAGTTAAATTACTACAACTATACATATACATTTCTTTATATAGGTATTTGAAGTACATACAATCCTAGAATATTAAAACTTATTTCGTTCATATCAATAAGAGTAGGTATAATCATTATAAACATTTTCAACAACAGTAAAGTTCGACGTGTAGCAACAAGGACGTTAAGATATGAACAACTATGATAAAATAATACAGCTGTGGGTCAACCTTTTATAAGCTGTGGTCTCCTATAAACGACGAATAAAATTTGAAGTTATTGTCTCCCTCGCGCTGATGATGAAGTATGTCGGAGACAATGATTTCCTTCGCGGCTTTACTTATTTCGAATCATATAATGCTGGATTTGGCGACCATTGTTTGTAAACTACTGTTGTGACGTCATCCTTGGCGCTTAAGATATAAAGATCACAAAAGGATTTAACAATATGGATCTTGACCAGGCGTCACATATGCTGTACGTAAAGCTTTTATAGGAGACTTAAGCCATAGGGTCGATGCACGATGACATATGAAAATAATGTATCGGGAGATCTTTATTAGATTAAGATTACATATTACATTTACATCGCTTGTGTACATTGTTATGGAAAATAATTATCTAATAAAATATGACTGGACTGGTTCTGTGATAGCTAAGTATATGAACATGAATTTTCTTATAATCCAAAAACAGAGAGTGGTTTTAAAAGTACAGGTGATCTTAAGGTTTCTTTAAAGCAATATCTATACGTCACAAAACCACAGTCTTTAAGAGAATATAGTTCTTTAATTAAAGAAGAAAGAAATGTAGTTTTACTTCAACGAGAAATTGATATGCAATGACATTGCAAATATACCTACCTAAATCGAAAAATTAAGTTAATAACAACAATAAAAAAATTAACGTCAAAGTTTATCAATCTATTGCCACCTAAGCGAATCCATAAGAATATTTAGCCTATTAGTAACGAATAAATAAAATTTCGAAATTGTAAACAACCTTATACAATAGGACACAGCTACAATGATAAAAGCTAACCATGTCGAGAACAATGTTATACATAAATTACTACCCGATTGTAAAAAATTAGTTTCACATTTGACGACGATACATACCCCGTTACGATCTAAAGTTATTTATAGGTCGAAACACATTACCCTAAGAAGCGATAAATATACAGAAAGTTGATTCCCAAAAACAAAAGAATGCCGTTTTATTTCTCTTAGCAAAACTTTAGTTTAGTTTTTAAGTTCGTAGTTAGTGTCATTTAGTTTTTGAGACTTTAAACAAAAACTAGTAAAGCAGTAATAAAGAAGAGCTACAAAATAATTATATTATATCATTTTAAGACTTTTAAGTGTAAAAAAAATATTGAAATTCATAAATCTATGAAAATCTATGAAAGATTTCAGTAAGTGTATATATAATGTGTTTCGACCAACCCAGCACATTTAGTAAGTACCGTCATCAGTAAGATCTTGATAGGGTTCCGCTGGCGGCTGAACGGGTTCTGCTTGGTAGAAGGCGCCAGAAACAAACGGGTTATTGGGAACGTGCTGCTGAGGCGCTGGTGGACGTGGTGGCGCGATAGCACCATACGCTGGTGGTTCCGATCCTCTTAACGGTGCTGATGGCTGCTCTGACTGTTAGGAATGTTTACAATTTGTTTTAAAATAAAAAAGTGTGAGCGAATTGTGTTGCATGGTTAGTTACGAAAATTTTAAACTTTGATCGATAGTGTTTCGTTCTATTATGAAAAGTTTCGTTGCAAAAGCGTTTATCAAATTTTAAAATTCGAATTCCCCAAATTAGCTATACCCGTTCATTAAATTCCTTAATCATACATGTACTCTTGTGCTCTAAAAAATCCAATGTGAAAACTAGTATTCCTTTTATTTTAAAATATAGAAGTGTAAGTAAGTGAGATACATACAAATGTTGTTTCCTGGTCTGATAAAGGTTTCAGCGGAGCTTCATATGGAGGTGTGGGATCTGCCCAAGGCTGAAGTTCTCCTGATGCGAATATGCCGTAGATCGTGATCCCCACGAAATGGACCGTAGCTCCCATCAAGAACACCTCACGCCATTCCGTTATGGCTTTCTCGAGTTTATCCTAAAGCAGACATTTTTTAAAGCGAAAGGTAACAATCTCCAGTAAATACTGTCTGTAGTTTACGCGAGTACATTTAAAACACTTTAATGGTTAAAAACGCGATATATATTAGTTAAACTTATTTGGAGATTAATTTTTTCGACGACCCGACGTTTCGGATGCGTTGCAGCATCTACATACTTAGTTAAAAAAAATTATAATAAGTGTAACGGGATCCTGTCTTTTCGCGAAAAATTGTTTGGCCGATTATCACTTGCCAATCTGGTTAATTTGGTAAATTTTAGCGAGAAGTTTTAGATCTGAAGGAAATCTTTGTGAACATTCAAAGTGGAAAACTCTTTTTATATGCACGTTCTAATTCAAAGTTCGATAGAAGGCACACTTCGAGTCGGTGTAACGCATCGTCGCCCACCCACAGGCTACGGTTTGTTCATTTCGAATTATTTCGTATTCAGAGCGCGCGTCACAGCGAGCTCGATTTCCTTTTTAAAATTAGCCACGGCCCAATGTCCTTATTGTTTCGATACTTTGCGAGGGGAGGCCGAGTAGTAAGCACGCACGAATGCTGCAAAACTGAGTTATTCTTCATCGAGTTTATAAAGAATAAAAAAATCTATATTCGAAATTCAAATGAACATCTAATTTCAAACCGAAAGCGGTTTAAGTGAAATCCCGTGCACCCCTGTGGGGGATGGGGAGCATACATTTCTATGTCCGTTTTACTGATCGTCTCTTCTGCAGGCAAGTAGTTGATCAGACATCTGTGCTCTACCCAACAATGGATTGTTTCCCGGGATCAAACCCGGGACCTCTCGCGCTTAAAAACACGTTTAAACACTTAGCTATAGAGGTGGTCATAAACCGAAAGCAGAGTATTAAGAAATCACTCAGCACACAATTGTTTTAAAATCATTTAAATAAGAATCATTGTCATTAATAACTAATAAAATATATTTTATGAATAAGAATAAATTATCCATGACCGCTTTCAGCCTGGTATATCGGAAGTGATCTGTCCCGTCAAAATATAAATAATATGAATAATAAAATAACACTACTGTAATAAATAATAATAAAAAGTAATGAAATACTTCAAAAACTACTGGACTATATTATTCTGTTATATGTATATACCGTTTTTCGCTATTTAGTCATTATATCTTTGGAATCATAAAATATCTTGATACAACATAATAAATTACAGCTTAAGCTCTAAGCCACATTTAATTAATTTTCAACTTTGACCATGTTTCAGATACTTTTCAACAGTTGTTTTAAATTAAAAATCGATTATAGAGAGAAAAAAATACGACACGGGCAGGACTTAAACTGGCATCTACAGCGTTCCATGCTGTTGCTCTAAGGGCTAACCAATTGGCCTACCATGTCAAGATTAGGTGTTTTAAATCAGGAAACGTTTTAAATTAATGTACTAACCTTCTCTTGAGTCATGTAGTCGATTACAATAGGCACGACGAAGCCAGCAATAGTTCCTATACCATTGGAGAGACCCATTAGTATAGACGCATATCTTGGTGCGATGTCCAGGTGGTTAACGTTATATCCAGATATTGCGAATCCACTGCAAGCCACTCCAAGGGTCAACTCTATCGTTGCGACGTACTGTCAAACGTGTACAAGTAATTTATCAATCTATAAAAGCGCCTTAACAATTTTATTTTATATAAAAATACAATACAAGAACAATGTGAAATATATATATTTTTTAATTGTTCCCTTTTTAACTTGTCTCTTTCTTAATTATAGAGGAGGACAGACAAGCATGATGTTTACTTTATGGTAGGTGATATACCTTAAACAGTTGTAGATTGTTAGATGTTAGCATTTAAAGTACGGTGTCGACCTACTTTGGATTTGGATATTCGGAAATCCACAGACCGAAATCGGTGGTCGTGACTAAGACAGAATTTCTATATTCATACCACCTATTTAACATCCAGATTTCCAGACAAAGTCCAACATGTTTGAAAAAATATTATAAATTCAAAAATGAGAAACATGTAGAACCCAGTGGGAATCGAATCCACGACTCATTGATTATTAGCCATACTTTAATACGACCAACGAGCACGTCTCGTAAAAATCTTAAATACACTAAAATCTATCAAGAAACAATCATCCGGAAAGTCATAAAAAAAGGTATAAATATCTTACTTTGTTATCAGCATACGCCACGAGGACAAAGAAAAACGCCTCTAGACCAAAACCGCCACAGTTAAAAAGCTTCCTCACGTTCGTCGTAGTCATTATATTGTTCTTACGAAGGTAATCAGCCATCATCCCACCGATGGGCACAAGAGACGTCATTATCAAATGTGGTATTGCACCCACAAACCCGGACTACAACAGAAAAAAATATATGACTAAGGAAAATTAATTAAACCAGTACGAAGTTTTAGACCGGTTTATTGCCATTCTTACTTCAGTAATTTGCATATTGAATCGAGTGTTGAAGTATGCAGACTGGAAGATGACCAGCAAGCAGAAGTTCCAAGTTCTACAGAAGTTCGCCACGATAATGGCGTACACCTATAACAAAAAATACCTGTACTATACGCCACAGTGGACAAAGGGACACTTTGACAAACTTGAAAAATCACTAAAGAAATTAATACATGGGTTTGAATTAGCTTGTAGTTGTAGTCTCACAAAAGATGTAAATATAATACTGTTGTTGTTGTTAAGTTTGGAGTTTTAATTACTTAACCATTTCATTAAGCTAACTCATTAAAATCAACTTTCATTCTTTAAATATGCCTATCATAATCCGATACAAGTAAATTTCTGCCCGTTGTGAATAGAAATATTTTCCTTTATGGATTTTCATTTGTAATTATGTTTATTTTTATTAAGAAGTGTGCCGTTTTTGTATTATAATGTAAAAACTTAATAAGCATTCTGAGAGATACTTACTGGTGGTGAAGTAGCGAACTCTTTCCACGGTGTAGACCAGAAACCAGGCATTGCAGCTTGAGACGCAGTACCCAAAGATTGTTCTATATATGTCAGTTCCCGACCTGTAATATGTGGGTGCTTGCTCGGGCGCTCAAACACGAGCCATAGCCAAAGAGCGTACCTACAAAAACATTACAATTGTAACCAACAGCGGATCAAGGGGGCGGTCATGGAGTTTATGTATCACTTTTTTAACTATGTATGTTCTGAAAGAAGCCTTACCAAATTATACCCGATACACCGTAGAAATAAAATGGCGTCTGCCAGGATATGTAGTCTGTGAGGACACCAGAGAGCGGCATGCCTATAACGATGCCGGCATAAGTACCGCAGAATGCTAGCGTAGCTAATCTTGACCTTTCCATCGGGGGTGCCCACATTCTCCAGATTCCATGGCAAGAGGGATAGGTTACACCCTGTTAAAATTTCAAGTGTCAATTAAATATTACTCTTTTACCAGACGTGAATTTTACAAGACGTCCTTATGTTAGTCAAGATTACAGACTAGTCAAGGGTATCGTCGTGATGCTGGGGCATTTGATCTTCTATCGAGTGAGCCCCATGCTTGTTTGTTCTCCCGTATCATAAGAGCTTTGAACGGCAACATGAAAAATATATAAATATTGTAGAGATAATATATTCTTCCTTCTATATTTGACTGACTTTTTAAAATTCAGTAATCATATAAGTATAAATATCCAAAAGCCAAAATGGGTCGACAGCACATTTTGTCTCGATGTTATATAGCTGGGGTATTTGCTTAACATCAAGTAACTTGTCGCTTGTCTTTATTCCTATGTCATAGAAAAAAAATTACAATAAGTATTTCATCTGATAATAGGAATTATCTTCCATCATAAGAGTTTAAGAAATTGAGATAAAATATCTATTGAATGTGATATCGGGATAATTCAATGTGAGATTTAATAGAATAGGCGCCATTGACGATTCAGCTAAGCTGAGGTACAAGGAGACGAATAAATGCGTTGCCATGGAAACCGAGGGCTCAGTAATCCTAAAGAGGCTTTGTAACATCGGGAAACGATTGAGAACTACACACAAGTAAGCGTAGATAGACTGCTTTATTGGAATTTCTTGTTTTGCATACGGAGTCATTAATTCACTATTTATTTTGTTTAGGTTCAAAAGATTTTAACTTATTATAATGATTTTTTAGGATAAAAAGGAGTTTTTTCATCTATAGGCTTGTACTGCATCAACATTATGGAATATTTTATACATAATATAATAAGATATTATATAAAAATATAGTAGAAAATGTAGAAAAAACGGGAATAAATATTCATCTTTGAGGGTTTTCGTTGCGTATGCTACGACGACGGTTAAAGTTACCCAAAAAATATGTATTTAGGAAAATTCCTCTTTAAATTATCTAAAAAATGTCCGCGACAACATATGTCTAACAAGAACGACGGGTAAATTCTACAATTTATAAAGATGAGAAGGAGTTTTGCAAAAATTTCTACGCGAAGTCACTGGCACATCTAGTTTGTAATAAACAACAGACGCTAGACAACTATCAATTCACAAAGAGATAATATTTTGTAGACTATTTACTTGCGCCTTTGTAAAGGGGAGCAAATCCAAACGTGACGAGTCGTATATTCGTCGCCGAGCTAGGCTTCCGAATTTGAAACACTCATAATAAGCTTGATCATGCGCCGTCACGGACTGAATGCCAAATGTTCTAAATTTAAACGCATCGCGCTTGTTACATGTTTATTGTAACTCCCTTGATGTCTGATCCGTCAATCATTTTGCTAAGGGCAGTTTTATAATACAGTATTACTTTTATAGTTCGTTCGGTCCCTCATGACCACGAATCCTTAAAAGCATCGGGTCATAATTATAAAGCATTTTTTTTATTATTATTCAACTATTTGATTTGATGTACGTCCTATTAAATGATGATATAAACAGCAATAAATTGTATATTGACCATTCAAATCTATTGAATCATTACCAAGTTGTATATGTCTTATTATTTTTAAAAGAAATTAACGTACTTAAGTGTAACCTGTGTGGGTATTGTTTTACCAAAAACAAAGTACCTAAAATTACTTTAAAATTTATATATCCTTCAAATATAGCTGAAGGACCTCGTCCAATGTAAAAATTCGCAAGTTACCAGACAGTATTGTATAATGTAGGGATTTTTGTGAGCCCAAAAAAAAATATTGTTAAAACTAATTTCGTCTCTCTCTTTAACATTACGTCTTACGTCGTAATTCGCAATCTTTAATCTCGCTCGTTCTTACATTTCACTACACACACTCTACAATAATATATAGCTTTATATACAAACCTCAACAAAACCCTGGGCCACCTTTAAAATTACAACCGCCGCTGGTCCCAAGGACATAGCGCCAGGTATCGCCATATTAAATATCGCTGATGCAAAAATAGCAGCACCAAAGATCCTGTTAGCGGGGTACATGGACGCAAGGTACCCCCCTGGAACCTGTGTGATCAGGTATCCGGCGAAATAAGATGAGTCTATTGATGATTCGACGCTTACACTCCAGTTGAAGGGTGTGTCCTCTTTTACACCGCTTGATGTCTGAACAATAAAATAACACATGAATAAATTGACTAATTAATTACAACCACAATTTTACCACCTAACCTTTTAACCACTAAACTACAATGGTAGTTAGGCCAGGGATGCACAGTCTTATTATGACTAGAGGCCTCTCGGGCAATTCATAAACTGAAGGCGGGCCGTCAGAAGTATAGACAATTCAAGGCAATCTATAATCAATTATTCAATTTTGATACCTTATTATCAATAATAAGGTATTAAAATTGAAAAGGATTTTATTCATTTGTGTATTATTTTTGCTGTAGGCGGGCTACCAGTATTTGACCGGTGGGACCTGGTCTGTACATCTCTGACTTAGGCCATACATTAGCTAATTCTTAGTTATCAATATTTTAAAGTTTTGATATTCATGAACTAAACTGTAGGAGGCACCACGTTATATTAATTATTTCAATATTAAAAAGACGAACAAACTATAATTTTAATCTATCACCAAGATTAGATGTGATCATTTAAATTAACCGATAGTTGAGCTCATGAATTTGTAAAAATGTGTATAAATTGTTAATAGCAGCCGTAACTTTTTTACCCCTCGTAAATATTTCTAGGTTACGATTGGGCCTGAGAATAAACGTTAGTTTATTTTTTACTTACGTTGTGCTTTTCAGTCATCTTTAGTTTAGCCATGCTCATGTTACATCGCATACCGAACATGATACTAAAACCGAAGCAGGCGAGTAACGCCACGGTGTAACGCGCGCTGAGGCAGGGGCATTCGGCTCGGGCATATTTATCTACAAAAAGAAAATAGAGGACTATACCAGAGTTAGAATGACGTCATCAATCAATCCTTCCAGCAATTTTTGTTAGTTTCTAGGTATTTCAATAAGATTTCAGTGTTCTTATTCTGCAAAATTTCGAACTTTGAATCTTAATGCAAAGTAGTTAAAGTCGAAATTACATTACACCAGCGATTATGCACAATTACAATTCTAATTTTTAATGGTTCTGAAATTATTTATCAATTCAAACTATATGAAATATTTATAAACATATTTTGAATATAGCACATTACCTATTTGTCTTGGTGGGGGTCTTTCCGGTGATGGTGGTGTTTCCAGGTCTTCGCCATCGTACATCTGATCATAGCCCTTTTGTTCGACGTGGAAGTTTTCATATTGATTGTTTCTAGAAGAAAATGTACTCGTGTATTTTACCGTACAAATGTACATTTTTCAAATCGAAGTGTAAATGACCTCAAATGTGATACAATTGAAATTATGTCAAACATTGTCTGTAGTTTATGCGAGTAGTACGCATTTAAATAAAACACTACCGGTTTAAAACGCAATATGTATTATTTAAACTTATTTAAAAAAAAATTAACTACGGCCTGACGTTTCGGATGCTTAGAAGCAGCCATGGTCACGAGGAGAGGAATCGTAGATTAAATGTTTTAAAATAATCATAACTAATATATTTCGTGTTTTAAACCGTTAAAGTGTTTTATTTAAATGTGTACTACTCGTGTAAACCACAAAAAGTATCTAAAGTTACACCTTTCAAATGTAAGTTCTGTATTTTACAAATGGTATCAGAGCTCTATTTTCTTATAATTAACGTGTTCGGATCGCACGAGAAAATGGAATTAAAAAGCGCCGACGTCGCAAATAGGGTGACGTGCAGGATCGCACCTGCGTCTGATATCCACTCCAGTTTGCATTATGAAGATAATTGTATGGAGAACGGGACGCAGTGCAATATTCATAATTGGCCTCTCGAATATAGGCGATACGTATTGTGTTATTTCCAGATAACTAACTGTGGATTTACTTTGGAGCTTAATTTAATCTTTGTATGTAACTGACACGGAAACAGGTAGTTTAATTTAATTATTAAATACTGTCTATAGTTTACGCGAGTAGTACACATTAATAAATAAAACACTTTAACGGCTTAAAACGCGATATATTAGTTAAACTTATTTGAAAATGATTTTTAACTTCGGCCCGACGTTTCGGAGGCTTTGCAGCAGCCGTGGTCACGAGGGGAATCATTTTCAAATAAGTTTAACTAATATATCGCGTTTTAAACCGTTAAAGTGTTTTATTTAAATTTAATTCTTGTATTTTGCAGAAGTAGCCTTAAAGTGGAATCATTTTCAAATAAGTTTAACTAATGTATCGCGTTTTAAACCGTTAAAGTGTTTTATTTAAATGTAATTCTTGTATTTTGCAGAAGTAGCCTTAAAGTCGTCACTATCATGGTATGAATATTATTAATTAAATTGTAAATACTCGCTATCATGCCATAATCTGTTGCGAAATATTTTGTTATAAGCTTACATTAAAAGCAAAATTGTAAAGAAAAAAAATGGTGCAATTTTTCCCAAAATTAATTGCTAAGAAACAATCAGAATTGACGTCCAAAATAATAAAAAAAAACAAACTTATTTCTATTCTTATAGGAATGCTGTAGAACTAAGTTTAGCGGTGTATGACCAAATATTTATTATTTTCGCGTTTAGGTCTCTCCTAAATGGGGTATTAAAGAGAGACATTAGGTTGTGGTCTTCTATAAACGTAGTCCGCGTACAACATAACGCGTTACGCCGCGTCAAACTACTCTCCTATTAGGTACTAACCAATCACACGCGCGACAAATACGTCCAGTATGCAACAGTAGACAAACAATGCATTAAATTAGATGTTAGAAATGACTATTCAAAATAACTAGGGACTTTGAAAACTTTTATATTCTTTTTTACAAATTTAAATCGATTTAAATAAAAAAAAAATACGACACGGGCGGGACTCGACTCGGAATCCACAGCGTTCCGTTTCGAGCAGCACTACGCTGTGGATGCCGTATTAAGTCCCGCTCGTGTTGTTTTTTTTTGTTTTTCAATATTTATATAGACATTGAAACTAGAGACTTGGTAAAGCATTTTTAACTCGCTGACTGAGGCGTGTGAAGGAAACAACAACGGTACATTCCTATAAATTAAGCAGCGTATCGCATTGTTCGGCCATCTTTATAGGAAAGCAGAGCCTTGGAGGAATATGGCAGAGAGACATTACGCTAAATAATTTAATTTGTAGGCGCTCATGCATTGTGCTTTGTTTGTAAGCGCTGGCAATTGCAACGCTGTATTACTTTTGATATCAAAGAGAACTGTGTCGACTGTTTAATCAAAAGTTTATTAATATGAAATAATTTACAACAAAAACTGCTTGGAAAGGGTTATTATAGCCTTAATCAATATTTAAACGATAAAAATGCTTGGGGTATATCGCTCATAGAAGAAACAATATGTAATGCACTTAAAGTACGGTAAGTACTGTAAAATGTAATTTGGCGATAAAACGAGTGACGGCGAGTTTCTTGCCAATTCTTCTTCGTTCCACGCCCCTGATTTGAAAACTAGTAGGTACTTAATATAAATTTAGAGTCTCTTGTTTTTAACTGATGTTACTTTGATAAGTTTACCTAGTTTTTCAACGTACCTTACCAACTTAAATGAATTATTTTTTACTTTGACTTAAAAAGTTTAACCATCTCTTTGTCATTGAAGAATATTTAGCATTTTAAAAACTTTGCTTTTTTCTTTGTAAGAATAAATCGTACAAATTAAATTATATTATTAATTGATCATCGCATTGTGTTATGTTTGTTCTTATTAAAACCCCGTCTTACTATGCACAAATATGCTTTGTAGCAGGCACATAAGCTGATCCAATCGGAAGCAGGGTAATAAATATTTGATCACTATCTTAACTCCTTTCAGCAATCTAATTTAAATTACAAAAGTAATCGAAACGAAACGTAACTAGTAAATATTCTATTCATAATGTTTAACATTCATAAAATCAAGATAAGCGACGCGTAAATTCATTTTTCCGCTGACAAAAGTAATAAATGTGTCTATCTGTTCGCGTCCCCCAGTCGACTGATACCCCGGTAATGAATCGTCGGGATAAAAGGCATAACCAAGTGGAAGCGACGCGCTACGGGCAGCCGCTGACGTGTGACAACGGAAGCGCCAAAATTGAGACGGAATTTAACTTTAGAATTATTATTGCAACACACACAATATATATATAAATGTTATTAAAAGTAGTATTAAAAAAATATTAATACTACTTATGAAGTACAATGGACCTTATCGATGTAGAGCGGTCTCTTCCAGGCAACCCCAGAATACTTTATAATCATAGTCTTTTGAACAAGTTGTATATATTTTCAGGAATTATATTATACATGGCTCCATAAGCTTATCGACTCGCGTTTTGGTTCTAGAGATCCTGGCTTCGAATCCCATCAAAACATGATAAACATAGATAGACTATATAACAACTCAAAAGTGTCAGAAGCTTGAACGAATCTTTTCCTGCCGGATAAAAATATCGTTAGGTTAAACGAACATAGAAATGTCTCCAAACCGTACCTACGCCTTTCTTTACGCATTGTTATTTTAACATTTTTTGTTTATTTTGACAAAACTTGTTATTTTAATCAAACAGCAGTAAAGATACTTTAGTTTAATGATAAATCAAATCATCATCAAGACTTATTGTTAATTGAAATTGGCTTAACTTCTTTATTACTATTGCAGAATTTGTAAGACAACTTTATTTTTGATTATATGAAAAAGCAGCAAAAAAACACGTAGACATTAACAATTACTAATCTACATATATCTCAAAACTTACAAGAAATAAATTAAATCCACTAACATTTTAACTGTATATCAAGGTAACCAGGAAAATAATCTTGATAGTATACGTTATGTTTTTAATAAAGCAATATAATAAGTAGGGTAACGACACAACATAGAGATAATCTCTCTTTTAAAGTCCCCCCCGACTCGATCGCTTTGCCCATTGTACTCCTAATGCACCCTACACTCTACACCTACAATTTTGTGACATAACATTAAATGGTGTAATTACCTTTTAGTCATGGTGCACAGTCGTATCGTGAATAAATCAGTTTTATAACTTCAATATCATTTATCGTTTACTCAGTACATTAACTCGGTGACGGTAGTATTTTTACGTATAAACAACGGTTTGTTAGGAAAGGGAGTATTTTATATAAAAGATATAGGTCCGGATCGGCGGGCCGTATTAAAAAAAATACGAATTTTCTTCCACAAACAAAACAAACAAAATAAAAAGGTCTTTCGTTATTACAAAGAATTCAAAGTATTGCAAATAATCGATGACATGGACGTAACTTAAACCGAGGTCCTCAATTTTCTGTGAACTTACTTTTACTGGAGCATTCATACACCTTACATAAATAAATAAATATTTTTTTTAGCTTAATGCAATTTCAACCTTAATTTTCAAGAATTGAAGTTCGAAGTCCTACAAAATAATCATATAAAATAACAACGTTCACACTACACAAATTGGGTTTCTCGTTTTTAGTATTTTTCTTTACCTAAGCTTTATCAAATGACTAATGTGCGAACGTATTTCTAAAATAACGGAAATGACTTATGATGAACTTTACAGATTATAGACACGTGTCAGTAATGCACTATTTGGTTCTTTTAATTGGATAGATTAAATCTATGTCGTTTGCTCGGCATATTTTAATACTAAGTACAAATGAACAAAATACGTCTTTGAACTTAAAAAAATATCCAAGAAATACTTCGTCTCTGACCTCTGGACCTCGGACTGAATGCTTATCTACGATATTCTTCATAAAATATACACTGAAGATTGAACAAAGATTCCACCATTCAATAATGTTTAAAAAAGTGCAAAATTCTGTTTCTCACCGTGGGGCATGGGGCAAACACATGTCCGTGTCCATTTCACTGATCGGTTGTATTTACAGGGAAATATTAATATAGTCTGTGCCCTGCTGACCGAAGCAATCTATTGTTTCCCCAAGGTTCAAATCCAGGACTACTTGCACTTACCGCAATGCAAAACATCTATCGATTTAGCTATAGAGACTCATATAATAAATTTTTAATTAAAATTTGTCCTATTTTTTCTGAACTCAAGACAAACCTGGTGACGACGTAAAGAGCAGGGTATAAGACCCCACGCCTTAGAAGATCACAATATGTACTTGAGCACACCCCACTATGAATACTTATAGGCCAGGGAAGCTTAGAAAGTTAATTACTTCATTAAGATCACAAACGTTTCCCGTTTATTCATAGAATCTGTAATTAGATGGCCTTTGTTAAGTGATTTTATGGTTTCTGTAATCTAAGTTATTATTATTTATTATTTTCTTTCGGGGACACCTGTGGTAGGGCGGGTGATCAGTCCACGTCATCAGCCGACCATTTCACCCATTTCCCCATTTCCACCTTGTGGAGGTTTTGGGTCATCCAACTCTCCCCGTGTCCCCTTCAAACCTTTTGCTTGCAGAATCTTATTATTTTTTCCATCTGTAGTTCTTTAATGTCTTCTACTGTGACTAAATCCGAGCCCATATGCATTTGTCTTAGCCTCGAGTATGCAGAGCATTCAGTGAGTAGATGGATGCTTGTTTCCTCACTTTCTCTGCACTCCGGACATAGGGGGTCGCTGCCTATTCCAATAATCTAAGTTAACAAACTTTTAAGTAAAAAAACAGTTTATAACGTAAAATATATTAGTGAAACTTATTTCAAATTAATTTAACTACGGCCCGACGTTTCGATTTCTTGCAGCCGTGGTAATGGGGAGACTAAAGATGAAAGGTGTCCCTAATGCCAATAAAAAATGCTACGCTAGTGCCCTCTGTTAATCTTAACTAATACATTTTTCTTTTAGAACCGTTATGAGAATGTTATTTAAATATGTACTTCTCACGTACACGTTTTAAGATTTTAGTTACATTAAATTTCATGGAAAGATGTAAAATACATGATCTTGTATTACAGAACCTACACATCGGTTCGAATCCCGGGAAAACAAGATTAATTGACAATATATAAGAAACGATAATTGTAACAGAGAAAGAAACGTGCTTTAAACGTAAGAGAAAATATAAATGTTGTTAAACATCAATACAACATAATAAAACACGCAATAATTATATCGTAGCCAATATTACATCCGACATCGACCCTGGTGCGTTTTAGGGAGGAGGGTGGCTATTACCCCATAGAACCACCATTTCTAATTGATTTACAATTGTCAGTTAAATTTGTTTGCCCACCACCCTGCGATTGAAAATCGCAAGTGCATTAAACTTTCTCCATTAAAAATGTATAATCTATACTAATATTTTAAAGCTGCAGAGTTTGTTTGTTGAACGTGCTAATCTCAAGAACTACTAGTTCAAACTATAACTTCTAGTTAGGCTATAACATCACGATTCGACAAAAGCGTACACTACGAAAACGGTTCAAGATACAAGAAAGAGTTTTAGAATTTTTACCATCCATAAATTTTAATTCGTTGTTTTTGTTTAATCTCTAACCTACTTTTACCTATAGTTTTAATTTTTACGTATTTTTATTATCTCTATTTAATATATTGAATTAAATTAATGCATACCTTGAATGACTAAATATTATGAAGTCAGTAAGCTTTGTATAAATAAATAAATACCAAAAAGATATACGGAGAACACTTGAAAACGTAATATATACCTTAGAAGTATTTTTCTTTACATGACATGATATCCATTATTATTTACGTATATATTCAAATTGTACTACTCGCTCTTCTTTCTATTCTTCTCTTCTGGGAGGGTAATATAGGTAAAGGATAGTAAAGTTCGAAGAAACGTGATTCCTTATAAATCGTGGTCTTTTCCCTTATAAATATTGATGCAAAATCAGTTAATTTATTAATAATTCGTCGTTGAAAGATTGTCGAAAAATTTAATATAAGGTGGCGCAAGTAACACCGTGGGGCGCCTCTAGTAACGAAGAGAAAAGGATGCTTATAGCAGAAAATGCATATAAAGCAGTACAAAGAATTCAAAGGAACTAGGAATATAGCGTTAGAGTCTTTTAAAATAGTTTCCTTAGAGAACTTCGAAGAATGGAGGATAGTTATGGCGAGGTGCGGAGATTGGTCAGAGGTCATTTAGAGGAAATGCGGACAAGACTATAGATGAATGAAATATACAGTCTTGATACGCTAGTAGTCTATTTACTAATTACTTTTAAGTAAGTTTATGAGCAGTGAAGTATACATCTAATACAATTTAAGTAAGTTTGTCTTTGCGTTATTCGACTTTGAATTTTTATGTTAGATACATAATTAAAGTACAACCTTTGACTAAACATTTACTATAAGTGGTTTTAAGGTTTGAATCCCGGTGATACATAATATATAGTTTCGGTCAGGAAGGGTATTTATATCGGGTCCACTTTTTGCCTGAGAATAAAACCAAAAAGTGACACATAAGTACATGTAGCCACTGCCATATAATTAACTATAATAACTATAATTGTGGGAATGAAATGCTTTTTATTAGGAGTCTTATTAAATAAAAACCTTGTAAATTGTTGAAGTCATTAATAGTAATGTTAAAAAGACTAAAAACTTCTTATTAAAATTAGAGACCACAGCAACTGATTTGGAAAGTAAAAAGATAATTTAAACAATTGTCATAGACATCTTAAATATTGATGTTGCCACACTAAAAAATATCTCCCGATAAATTGGGAATTGATATTGATAAGGGGATAATTGTAATAACTATGAATACTTTGAGAAAACTTGGTACATATTTCACATAGTGAAGTGATTCCTTTCATTTGAAAACTTTGATATTTTTCACATGTTATTGCACATGAAGGCAAAATAATTTAAAAATCGAAAATAAATTGAAAAACATTTTTGACACTGGCTGGGTAGGACTTGAACCGGCATCGTCAGCATTCCGTGCTGTTGCTCTACCAATTGAGCTACCGACTCAATTTATTTTCGATTTTTAAATCATTCCTTTCATACAATTTTTAATCTTCTCTGAGAAACGATAAATTATTTAATGTTTCTCGCGTTGCGATCACTGCCATAATAGAGTTATTACAAAAATGGCGATTCGCGTTAAGAAATATCACTTGGTGAACCCGAGACGCTTGTTAGCGTCGCCGTCTTTATTTATGGCGAGATTTATTTTATGGCCAGGGTGGAATCGAATGAGGCGAAAATCTGCGACAAAAATGTACATTGATTTTCAGTTGGAACATAAAAAACAGTCTAACTATATAAAATACAATTTTGAACCAATTAAGAGTAAATCGTTTTTATCTTTTGCTTGCGGTAGTAGTTTTATTTAATAAATTGAACTACACTTTTCAGCTCCCCACTATCATTACTAACGCAAATCGCATTTCTATAAAGGTGGGAAGGGATTTTAATTAGTTATATGGGTTAAAATAAAACACTTTGACGGGTTTAACACGCGAAATTTATTAGATAAACTTATTTGGAGATTACGTTATCTACGGGAAAATCGTGACCTGCCGCAAAGCATCCGAAACGTTGGAGCATATTTAAGATAATATCCAAATTAGTTTAACTAATATATATCGCGTTTTAAACCCGTTAAAGAGTTTTGCGCAAACTATAGATAGTATTTAGTTATATGGGCTCAAATACAAATGTAGGAAAGTATATGTATATTATACTAGGGATAAGAGGCATAGAAATATGTCTTCCCTTACAGTTGTATATTTAATTTACTGAAATTTAGTTTTTCTGTTTTCGACCCGATCGAAACGATCGTTATGTTTCTTCAGCATGTGAAAGACCGACTTTTAGAACCGGTTAGATTGTAATTCTTAGTTATGTGTAGACATAACAAAACATGAAATTAATATTAATTTTTTCAGTCTGTAAGTGACTTCACTTATTCCATGAATGAGGCCTAAACTAATGTGAGACGAGGGAAAGGTCAAAAGCACAAATAAATAAAATTGTGGAAGAGGACACGCGGTTAGTCGTCTCATTAGAGCGAAGGCATTGTCCCACTTTCTCAGATTATATGAGGATAGATTTTATTAAATCTGTCAACTTAGTTCTATATAAACGCACACACGTTTTGAAGATAGATAAAACTTAAGTAGTCCGATACACACATTTTATTTTATTTCATGATATAAATACATATGTGTATTTACGAAAATCATTAGTAAAAAGTCAATTTCTTTTAGAGTTAAAAAAAAGAATCACTATTATTATTAATACACAACATTACGTATTTTAAAGATCTACAAAGCCAAAATAGGTCATGTTGAGATTTTCTTGTCTTCCACCTTTATCATAAAAAAATGAAATAAATAGACCTACTGAAATTTAATCGTCGTACTGAAAAAAATTTTTCTTATAAACTTTTGTACTTTAATTAAATACATATAAATAAACCATTTCATTATAAAAAAATAAGCAGCCAACCGTACGTGCCAGGCGCAATATTTCACTTGGAATTTTGTGCCAAAGCGGAGTTTACCAAATAAAATATAAAAATGAAAAGCAAACAACACAGCGCGTTGTATTTGCGATGATATTTGGTCCGTAGATTCTTATACTCTTTGTCGGGGCCTAATCTACTGGGACGAGCGGCGCGCACGTACACCATCGACCTTTACTGTTTCTTGAAATTCTGCGATCAAATCTACGAATATATTGTTATGCATTTGTGTTCGTCGTTTTGGTATTGTTTTCGTGTTTATTTAAAAGTTTTAAAAACTTTTATATTTTTACATATTATGGCAGTATATAAATTAAAAATCGATTTTAGATTCACGTCAATTTACGACACGGACAGCACTTATAGACGCGAGAGTTTCAAACTGTTAAAAATGTATTATCAAATCAAGGTGTAAAAGAGTAACTTTACTATGTATACACGAATATAAACTGTATTTACTATAATCACGAATTTTTTGCATTGTGTTTGTACTTATTCAAATCATTAAAATTTGAATTATTATCATTTTATAAGATATCAAAGTTTGTTTTAATATATTGTGCAGGAAAAAGGACAATTTGGTGCAAATGTGATTAAGAAAGCGTCTGTAAATAAAAGGAAGAGAATCGCTGTAAAGGAAAATCCTTACAAATCGCAGATTAATCCAGAAGAGGGTCTGAAATCCAGGTTAGTTGTAAATATCAATTACGCAAATGCTACGGCTTAGGGTAAACACTTTACACGATGAACGAATTGTGAAGTTCGCATCTCAAGGGGTGAATTGTCTTACGTTTATTTCTAAGGAGTGTTACTGAAAATTAATTTACACGATTGTTGTGAGGTAAACGCTTCTTTATTAATTAAAGACTTGAATATCTTAACTAACATGTAAAAGTTGACACGGGCGGAACTCAAACGCTGGTCGAGGATCTAAATCCCGCCCTCTTCATCTAACTGTTTAAACTAAAATAATAATAATAATAAAAAATATTAAAAGGTATTAGATATTTTCACCGGTTCACGGGGACATAATATATCGGTATGTCTTAAAAATTATAATACAGGTGGTAGTCGAACCCGATATAGCCGGCATCTAGTTACGCGCGAGTTTATTAATGTTTCCTTAATAGACTTAACAAAAAACTATATAGTCTACATATTAGTTCATATACCATTAGAAACGGTGTTTTCGCCGCTACGTCTTGGGTCTACGACGTAGCGGCCTTTACGTTTATTGTAGTGTAGAGTAAATTTTAAAATTATTAGGAGTTTCGCGAAATTTTAAAATAAGGTATATATATTCCTTAAGAAATGTGTATTTTAGCTCAATTATTCATTTATTTTTATAATTATTGAAACAGATATACCTTGCAATGAGTATTGTAAATCTTCTATAGGTATACGAATGTACGAAACGCGGCCAATTGGATGTAACTCCCATGGGCATTTTTTCAGAAGTCTTACCTACAAATTGAGTATCGGTCGGGGTCGTTGAGATAATTTTAATATTCGCATCACAGGAACGAGACTTTTGTATTGATTTTTAACGGTATTACTTTGCAAAAGTGATATTTTTGTTAAATTTAAAAACATATGTTTATCTTTTAGGTTTTGTGTAAGTGACGCTTAACTTTGACTTATCAAACATTTGATACTAATATATATGGAACTGCTTCTAGACTTAAACTAGAAAATCAATATCAGTGTATATAAAATAATCATGTTAGTAGCTTGTCCGTAACTTAAAGCACCATGTCGTACACAGATTGAAAACTTATCTAGCATAGCGTAGCGTAGATAAGTTTGCTCTAAAGATAATATTCTACAGACAAGTAAGAGATACTAAATATTTTTTAGTGGTTAAATTATGACCCTAATTTTATTTAGGCATAAGTATTCAATAATAGACGTCTATAGGTACACGTAATAAAACATTACATCGTATTACTTACATAAACCGTCGCAAAAACATTTTCCCCGTGGATTTCATTGAATCAACAGGTTATACAGTAATTCACACCCTCCGTTTCCCTTTTCAATTTACCACCTTATACTCGGAGCGTACGGTCCTGAATTCTATTGAGCTCCCTAGAGGCACGAACTACCTGTAGATTTCCTTATTCCCCACATAACCTCTTATCGATGTTGGAAAACTTAACTACGATATACACGATCGTTTCTACGACACTGTAATTTCGTTTGATTGATAATTTAGATAAAGAAACGAGTTAAATGAGTGAGAATCGTTCGTATTTTGCGGCGTCAAGACAGACACTGACGTCACGGGAGCTGATATCAAACTAGCCAGAAATGCGTGCCACGCTCCCTCTGTCCTTATTCCCTATCGGGAGAGATATTCTGCAGTAAATTTTGCCGAAGCGTTGATAAGGATTATTTTTGTCTCTGATAAAAGAATTTGTTAATTGATTTTAAAGGACTGATGAAATGTTTATAGCTAGACGATGATTTATGTGATTATAAAATGAAACGTAGTGAAGATATTCAACAGTTTTACTATTTAAGGGACACTTAACAGATTTAGTATTTTACGCTTAGGTCTTTTTTTATATAGACAAATAACTTACTCCGTAATTTCTCATTTTACGTATTTTAATAACAGCGTTTTTCAATATTTATTTTGAATAAATATTGGATTATTTTAATAAGTCACAATATTTATTATAACATACTAAATGTTTTATACTTTTATTAAACATTCCATACGATATGTTATGTGTAATTTTATTATTATTAAAGAGAGCTCCTATAATTCTATTTTAGGGCATTTTCGTAGTATGACGCGGACGGTCGCGATGCTCCAGATTCGCAGACAATGCTCCAATTTATACCCAAGTCACTTACTGGAGTCGGCGAGACGCGAGGGGGTGCGATATGTACCCATAACTATGGGCATGTCGGAGAGAAAGGAGAGCCACCTACTTAACACTATTCTTAGTCCATTATAGATCAATCGATAATTTAACGTTATTAATAGAATTATTGTACACGTTCTTGTGCACACTGTATTGTAGATAATACCTAATATAATAAAAGTGGAAAGAGATATACATCACTCAATATTGTTGATATTAAAAATCATTTTTGAAAACTACAAACACATGTGGCACATCATTGCTAATGATGGCAGGTAAATTTAATACAAAACAAAAAAACTATTAAGACTATACATTATTATAATATTGTTATATTATTATAACCTTAAATACTGTCTGTAGTTTACGTGAGTAGTACACATTTAAATAAAACAATTTAACGGTTTAAAACGCGATATATTTTATTTAAACTTGTTTGAAAATTATTTTTAACTACTGCCCGACGTTTGGGGTACCTTGAGCAGCCGTGGTCACAGCGAGACAACAAGTTTAACTAAAATAAAACGTGGATTAAAACATTAAATTAGTAGATTAAAGTCTTTATTTACATATTTAAAATTTGTTATAATAATGTAATTTACTATATATAAATATAGTTTAGCTATAGCTAGTAAACAGTTGCTAGTACGTAAACAACTTTCGAGCTACTTTAGTTTTATTTCTTCATATTAAATATACAATATTATAATAATAGTATAAGGTTCCTAGTGTAAATAAATGGATTTTAAAACTTCCAGAGATTTAGTCATACCATTGTTGTAATTAAATGTACCCAATATATTCGAAGTATTCCCCGTATATCGATACCGTAATGTTAGAAAAAACGCTGCACAAAGCCAATTACATTAAAACATTCGGCCCGGGACAAAGGGCGACAGAACAATGGTCCTGGAAGGAGCTCGCGATATGTCTTTCAATGCTTTTAACTTTCGTGATGGCGGCACCGAGGGAAAATGGTGACGTCTAGCGACAAATGCGCGTGACATAGTGTTGTGCTGTTATCTATTCGATATTAAAAATTTAACTTTTTTTAACATCAATTAATTCTGATTAAACACGTTGTATATATTTTATTATTGCTTTAAAAGTGAAATAAATTATGGCACTATACGGTCACAGTGCAATGGTAATAATTAATATATGTTAGAAAAGTTTAACATTTTTACATGTGATACATCATTATGGAATTTAAAAATAGCAAATAAATTGAAAAAAAAATCGACTCGGGCAGGCCTTGAACCGGCATCGTCATCTTTTAGAGCAACAGCATAAAACGCTGACAATGCCGGTTCAAGTCCTGCCCGAGTCGAAATTTGTATTCAATTAATTTTCGATTTTTAAATAAATTAATGTCTTAAATAAAAAAAAATAGTCCGTGTTTTTTTTGTAAAATATAATGAACTTTAATAAATATTTAAGCCCTTGTTTATTTTTGTTAGATATCAATCAATGGTAACAGGACTTGTATAACAAAAAAATTATTAAGAAATGTAAAGGTGTAGCGAAAAAAATCTCTTTGAGTAACATTAGATACAGTCATCTAGCCTACAGCTCGGACTTGGTCTATTGTTTTCCTTTTTGTTTGATTGGAAGACTCGCCCATTGCTCTGCATTATAGTATATATAACTTATTAATTTTCCAAATAATTGCAGATTAAATTACGATTTGGCTTAACCGAAGAAAATGCTGTCAAGGTAATAAAACTGACTTTTAACATCGAAATGTCGAAACGCAATCTCATCACTAATAAAGAAGTGAGTCGTAACCAATGGGGTATCACGGGTTGGTTGCACCGCAAACTCATTTTATAAATCGTCCGCCCGTTCGCCCGGAACGACGCGTTAACTCACCCTAGTTCGATAATGTACCCCGTTTTCGTTCATTTCTCATAAACACGGTTTTTAACGTTTATCTGTAACATATGCCTCCGCCATGTATATAATTCTTTAATAGCACGAACACAAAATCGTCTTACTAACTCAGTACTTAACTCAGTCTTACTAACTTACTTACTAACTTGTTACTCAGGACTTAGTGTCAATTGATATATATCCATAAATTTCTAATTAAAAGTTAACCGAATGATAATGATATTAATAAACATGACAAGTGGTCAAAAAATAGGAAGGAGGGTATATTTATAACTTTAACTCTTAAATATAACACTTTAACAGTTTAAAACGCGATATGTATAAGTATACTTCTTTGAAAATTATTTTTAACCCCGGCCTGACTTTTCGGATGCTTTGCAGCAGCCGTGGTCACGGGGAGATATTCGTTATATTGTTTTATATAAATGTATACTACTTGCGTAAACTACAGACAGTATTTAACTTTAACTCTGTTCACTTCTTAATTGATTGTTCTTTCTCTGTACAATAAATAAAAAAAACGGTTGACGACAAATAAAATAAATAAATAATTTCTTATTTAAAGCTTACCTCAACTATAAGCATAAAATATGATTAAAAGCATCCATAGATAATCTTTTTCCTCATAGAAGTCAATTGTATGTTACGAAAACAACTCTCTTATCTCGTTATACAGTATTGTCTGTAGTAAAGAATGTCTTACAAAATACATAACAATATGAAGACGTAATATTCTCTCCGGTACTCTTAGTTAAAGGACAGTATCAACCAAGATCTTAAGTAAATCAAATCACCCCATGAATGGCGAATGAACCCGGGGCTTTTCACTGAGTTTTCCGCTGATGGCTATCACAATGGACGGGGATCAAGTGAAGTTATCTCTAAGGAGGTAAAAATGTTTCTTAATGCTTATTTAAGTTCCTTCCATTTGATGATATCAGGGAAAAGGGCGAGTTGGTAGCGTTGAGAAATCGTCTAGCGTAGGAATCTAAGATAATCCACTTTGCAGTATAAAGCCGTGATCAAGCTGTATAAAATCTACTTTCGAAGCTTGCAATCAGCTTAAAGTATTTTAACTTATCAGACGTATGAAATATAGCGATAATACTAAAGAAAAAGCAGTATCGTGGTATACCTTTAGATATAGTATACACAAACGACGATTGTAATGTAAATAATGTTTAAATAAAACACTTTAACGGTTTAAAACGCGATATATTAGTTAAAATTATTTTTAACTTCGGCCCGACGTTTCGGATGCTTTGCAGCAGCCGTGGTCACGGGTATATATCGCATGTTAAACCGTTAAAGTTTTTTATTTAAATGTGTACTACTCGCGTAAACTATAGACGGTATGTAAATAATGTATCAATAAAATTCACGGTATTTAGCTGATACATCATAATTTGGGCGATTTTTAATAATACAGTATCACACAATTGGCTTAGTTACCAATACATACTAATATATCACTTAAGTCAAATTGTTACTAACGCAACTAACACTCAATAAATTTAGTTAATGGTTCGACGGTCTGACTAAGAAATTACTATTATTTAAATTTAGAAGTACGTAGTTTGCGATGCCGATTTTAAATATAACATTGATTGTAGATAACTACGCGACCAGCCGTATTAACTTCCCCTTATAAGCAAAAAAATGTAATCAAATTTTACCAGACAACATTGAATACTGTAAAATTCTCGCCGGCTCGTCACAATAAAACTGTAACATTTTGATCTGATTTACATTTTTACGGCTCCTAAACACTCGATAAAACCGACCGCAGATATAAAACCTTTAAGTACATACAAATCTGCAGAGGCATTGAAACCCTTTTCAGCTGCGCGAAATGTTTCCACCGTGGGTGTGCTCTTTGAAAAACAACAATAACCCCCACCATACGTATGTATGAGGATACGCAATATACTTTAAAAGTACGTCTGCCATAGAGCTAAGACTGGTTAGAATGATATTTTTTACCTTTTTTTTTATTTAAAAAAAACAATCATTTGCCTTTACCTGAACAATTTCTCCCACTACTAAACTAATACATACATCGTTACTCGGGTGAGTCATCCGTCCAATAACGCAAAATAATAATAAAAAAAAGTAACTTCCGTATCTCAATTTAAAACATATTGTTAGTCTACACTATACGACTACTACTAAAACATGATTTCACTTTTGTTTATTAAAAATTATATTTTGTATGATAGAGGAGGACAGAGAAGCATACGGTTCACTGCATGGTAGATGCAATACCACAGGCATATAACATCTACACTACGCTGTCGGTCTATTTTGGCTTTGGATATTCGGAGATCCGAAGACCGAAAAGAGACAAACCAAAACGCCATGTCTTGGGTCTATAAACGATTTTTGGCCCTGACCAAAGACTGTTTTTACTATTTAATCTATTCTATGAGATATGCAAAAATATATAGATATTTCGTTACTGAATTTTTGCACATACTGACGTTCTGTAAGTTTCATAGCTCTATGTACATCCCTCTCTGTTTAAGAGCCACGCAATTTTCATGTTTCGTGAGTACAAATGGGAATCCATTTAAATACTAAGTCAACGTTTCAATACAAATGGAGTATTATTGAAACATAATAATAGATATACCATAGAAATATCCGCAGAGAATCGTTATTTTAATGTGTACTACTCGCGTAAACTACAAACAGTATTTAATTAAATACTGTTTATAGTTTACCCGAGTACACATTTAAATAAAACACTTTAACGGTTTAAATCGCGATATATAAGTTAAACTTTTTCAAATAAGTTTAACTAATATATCGCGTTTTAAACCGTTAAAGTGTTTTATTTAATAGTATTTAATAAGTAAAACCTAAACGAACAGATTAAACTGTAATAGGAGTATGTACTAGAATACATTTATTAAGGGCAAAATTATATAAAACCGCTCAAAGTCTAGAATTAGCGACTTTTTATAACTTCATTGTACACATGTAAGCTATATACGAGGGCATAATACGTATATCTATATATTCAATGAAAGATACATTTCTCCTCTCAGTCGCGTTACCCATAAGAACGCAAGGCAAAGGACTGGATGAATTACACAGGCTTCTCTTTGAGCGACTCACTTGGAGGGCTTACACGAAATAGATTCGATTGTACCAGCAATATCCTTGTTTGCTACTGATCGACTTCGTTTGTAGGCAAA